GTTATTACTTACATGCGTATGTCGCAGTAATATTATTTCGCAACTAGTTGGATCAAAAGGACCCAACATCGCATTTTAACTTTAAAAATATCTTGGGTGTGGTACTCTGTTAAATGCGTGTTTTTCTATTAGAATAAATTATCAAACCGCTGCAGCCCCTTTTAGCATGCACACCTTGGGCGCGTAACCTTACCCGTAATATCCGTGATGGAGCACCTCATCAACTACCAGACCGACAAACCGTTACAAACAATAATATGACACTATAGCCAAACATTTTGTAAACAACGCCCTTAGATTTCGGATTATCTGAGCCGCTTTGAAATCAACCGGTCACTCTCACACTAGGACTGTTTATATTTGTTCTTGTTATTTGGACCTGTTTATTTTTTGTTCCTATACTTGTTACTGTGCCCAGGTTGGTATTGTTATTGCGGGTCATACATATTCTTCTCTTTGCGCTGGCGATCGTGTCCGCTTTTAGCTATCAAGAAGCGCAGGACGAGTAAAGCAGTTTTCAGACGGATGCACTCGGGGTACCCCACGATGACAGGTTTGCAAGGTGGGTGCACCAGCAATGATCGTAGAGATCTCTCGTCTCACGGAAATCCCCATTGAAAATGGACTCGGTGTTGATTGCGGATGGATTATACTCTTTGTGCTAGGGAGAACTAAGAGAATCGACAACGCAGACCCAATACGGGTAGATGTACGCTTGACGACTTAGGGTGCATTTGACCGTGAAATGTCTGACTGCGTCAACTGCGTGGTCGATATTAGAACTAGCGGTTAGTAGTTGACGCCAGTACGGAAGCACATGGAGCCGGGTCGGAGGTATAAATCTGCATGGGGATATATGAGCTTCCGTTTTGCGCACCCTTCAGCCATATAGGCTTTAATGAGGGGTCTCCTGCGAAAGCGTAGACGAATCGAGCTGGATTCAGTGGTCAGTCCTTAGTTCTTAAAAGTCCGTTAGTTTCGCCAGTGGACAGGTAAGTATATTCACATGGTGGTGACACGGTTACAATCCAGTTTGGTTTTGTTTGAGGCACCAGGCAAGGACACTCCAATAGCGGGCAATGTTCTCAGACTAAATAGACGATTCGCTGAACACTACTAAGGTCAGAGGACTCAAGAGGCTCGGCAAATTTGAGGGAGCTCAGTACCCATATTGTAGCTGTCCACTTGTTCTTGTTAAAATCTGCATCTGTCTTTGTAAAATTGCTTTAGTCGCCAAAAGTAATGGAAATATAAATTGGTTAAATATATATTTCTCGGCAAAATTTAGAGGGATATTCAGGTCACTTCTGTGTGTCCGACGCGCTATTAAGGGTAAATCTTGGTCGCATATTGGTCCATAGAACTGTTATAGGCAACTGGGTAAAACTCATCTCAACATGAAATAATAAATGTTGTTACCTTCTCCATTGCAAAATATAATAGTTGACAAAGCGAGTTTTGCCGAACCAATTGTTAGTTCTACGCTTTTTTGATAAAGGACTGATGTTTTTTCTCGTTAGTTTGTGCAACTACAAAAACGATTACGGATTCAATAGGAATGAACTAAACATACAATAAACACGAATTTCAGTAAACGTTCTGGAACTCCTGTTTTCCTAGAATGCAAATTTTCACGATGCGTCTTCTATGCTTCGTAAATCACACTTTTCTTGGAACCCCACAACAATAGCATTTTTCTTAGGACTGGACTCGTGAGTCCAGTCCTATATCCTATTTAAAATAGCGGCGTTTCTGAGCGCCTGTCTTCCCTTTCATTTTTGAGTTTCGGTGCTCTTGGAGTTCCATTGCTTTTTTGTTGTAGAACTTCTGTTTTTCTATTTACCTATGTTCCAGAAGCACTTGTGTTTCTAAAATCGATGTGCCTTGGGATCCTTGTCTTTCCGTGACTCTACTTACTTTGGAAATTTTGTGCTCTAAATGTTCCTGCTGTCCTGGACCATTTGTGCTCCAGTTTATGGATTTTCAAATTGGAATGAAAAGACACAGCACTGGAATAATATTGAAAAACTGCCAAATAAAAATACAACAACAAATATCCGAACATATTAAAGAACGCTACACTAAAACTTTGCTTCATTATTTACATTGTCATCGATAATGGTAGAAATCCACTCACCTAAAACCACTTAACACCGTCTTTAATAAATGTGTGTTTGGTCCTGGCCAAAAAGGCAATATAGTTCTCGATACCTTGCAGTTTGGGCCCCCTAAATAGGTAGCATGGTATCCACTGACTTCCTGTTTTCTTTGTTTTGTTCGATACGCTTGACAATAGGACAAAATATAAGGCATCCCTGGGTTACGGCATTGTTTGTAAAACCCTCGTGGGGCAGCTAACAGTTGCTGCTTTCACACTCAACATCTGCAGCATACCCACTTTTTTTCAACACTCTTTTTGAATCCCTACCTGCCCTTTCGCATTTGATGGAACAGCAAAGGTCAAGCCCGTAGCGCAGGCTATTATTCGTGCTTTACAGTCTTATGCTACAGCTATTCTACACGGCATGAGGGGCCTGAACATTTCGTTTCATACAAATGTAGCAATGGCATCGCTATGTGAGAAAAATTGCCCTTGTTTCGAGAAATCGCTTTCCAATTTGAATTTAGCCCGGGTCAAACGAGTCACTGAAGCTACATATATCCAATACAAACATTTGCATAGAAAAAGTTGACGTGCCAGCGTGACGGCTTTCGAACAGACGATGCTCGGCTCGTATTCGCGCTTGAGTTTTGAACTGCAGATGTAAATCAGTACTGATCGTCAGTTCAAATCGTCAAACGGAATCGAATTATATTTTAAACTAAATATGCATACGCTTGTCTATAATATATTGTACAATGAACAAAGAGAATAAGATGTATGTCGTTCAAAAAAAAACGTTATTATTTTTGAGAATTTTAATATTATAATTATGATGTTTTTAGTAAACTATAACTTACTGATTCTAATGATATACTTCTTTTTTCGTTAAAGATCTAACGCAATCAAGCTGATCGAGAAATAAGGGGCGCACTGGTCGGCGAAAATCTTTTGTTAAGGGAAGATACAATTTATAAACAAAGTTCGATGGCACGGAGTGTCGTAGAATCAAGTTAAACTTTATAACTACCAAAAATGAAGTTTTAGCGATGTGATCATCTGGTAAACAATGAAACTCTTCCTCCCTATGCAGCTACTTCTTAAGATGTACCGATTATACTGTATATCTACTGCTTTGACTTCCCAAGTGAACAGCTATCCGTTGAATCCAGTGTGAACAATTATCTAGAATAGATAAATGTTCACTTCAGTTGCAATTATAAAATATCATTAGTAGCCAAGCGCTAATTGTTATGCCTGAGTTGCCAATCTCTAGGTCTACCCAACGCCCTTCTGCGATATTTATGGGCACATTATTAGATAAAGCAGCGGAAATTTCGACTGCAATCAATATATTTGTGTAGATACACATGCAATGATAGTTTTGCTGTTAAAGATTGCAATTTTACTTTTGCTACCCGTCCAGTGTGTTTGCTACTAATACTGCACTTGGAACCACTATATTATATACTAGGTTAAGGGTTCATTTTTGATTCCCGACAACTCACACCCAAAACGTAAGCTTGCTGAAGGTAACCTACCAAGCGTTCTGAACTACACCCTCAGAATTGACCAGCATAAGAGATATATTACTAAGATGGCATTGCAATCACAGTGTACTGGGATTTATGAACCACTTTGTTATGTTGAGCAATTTAAACGACAATACTTATCAAATCAGCTTTTTGGAAACAGCAGACAAGGTACAAGCCACTGTGGCACCTCAAAGATTTAAAAATAAAATACACCTACAAGGCACTAAAACGCTTCACCAATCCTCATGAACTGTCGTGTATGTAGTTGTCCTTATCAGCACCATCTTTAACAAATTAGAAGTATAGTAGGCAATAAACAGGATGATTACTCGTTCGAGTCTTAGATTTATGCAATCCTTATACCAATAAAGTTTTTTTTTCTGTGGAAGCTTCTTTTGTTCAATGTGTGTCTTACCATAAGCTAGTTAAGTTAGTTTTCTTTATTTAACTTTGATTTTGAGTTTTCTGTTCCGAGAAATAAATGAGGAGAATCCTTTCTACTATACCTTTTAATACTTACAGACCGCAAACGCTATTCGTGGACACTGTGAACAGTTGCAAGTAGGGGGTTTCTTCTATGGATATTTATAAAATTCAGTTGTTCCGTTATTTCTACACTAATATAACTTATTATTATTTATTTGCATTTAATCCTTTATATCTGACTCTTCCTATCACTTAAGATTATTCGTCCATAGTTCTTCGAAACAGCTACATTCGAGTGCTTTTCGTATAGTACCGATTCAGACCTTTCACCACTTATTTCGAATTATGTCGTTATCGCTTCACCCATTTTTTATGCCAAGCACATTTCCGCTACTTGGGCAACAACTCTCAAAGATTCGCAATGCTTTTCAATAATGTTTAATATTTTTTTAAAGTCTTGCTGAATGGTACGGCATGTTTCATATACTTCAAAATACCAAAAGTAGTCAAATATTAACAAAATTTTTGTATTCTCTGTGTTCTGTCAAGCAGGTTCTAAATTAAATTCGCGTTGAAAAAGAAAAATAGCGCAAAGCCAAATAGAACCTAAATTTCGTGAGAAATGTAAAATTCAGAGAAAATAGTTTAAATAAATTTCTGTTAAGAAATTGACTTATTAAACAAAGAAGGTTCCAGATACTTTTTTACAAAAAAAAGCCAAAGTTCTTCAAAAAAAAGTTAAGTCCAGGATAATTTTGCGAACGAATTACGTCCGTAGACTACTTCCCTCATAATGAAAGCGTTCTTTAGGGTAAATAGAAACCTGTTCCATAGATACATTTTATTATAAAACCAGTTCGATAATATAATACACATCATCCAGTGTTCCGTTCGACACTATGGTTCATGACGTAGTAAGGGTTGTACCCTGAAGAAATTTTATGTCGTTTATATGTTATTCACATAAAGCTAATGACCTGTGTAATACGTCTGATTTGCTTCTTTTGAATTCTTTTCCTTTTGAATTTGAAGCTATTTATTATTTCTGGATTTTTTCCACGTTTTTATTAAAATTAAAAAACAATATGAAAGAAAGGACGACCTCTGAACCTTGCCTTTAGGAAACTGTGCTTTTCAATCAGTGACACAAAAATAGCGTAGTGACAGCTTTATATTTAGCTTATGGCTACCGAGTATTTCGTTTCTCAACGAGCCTTTTAATGCTTCAACAGTTTAGTGAGGTCAAGCAATCCGACGCATTTCGTTGATGAACGGGATCTTTCACATAAATAACCTCAGACGCAACAATGAATATATCGAAAAAAATTTACAAGTTTTGGTATCTAGTTCATATCGGTTAAAATATAAGTCGATATCCCTGGCTCACCTGTAGTTAAACTATGAAGAACGCGAAAATAAATAGAGTTTATCTTGTAGCACTTCCAGCATCTTTTGAATATTTTTCCTTTATTTACACACAAAACAAGATAGCATACAAACACATTTTTGCAGCTGAACTGTGTAAGCTTTTTTATTACATTTTACCTCGAAAAATAGGTTAAATTATTTGCATTGATAAAACGATACCAGGACTCGCGTTATTCACCAAACTAAGGTCAGTCAGACTCCGTATGGGATCTAGTAATCTTAAGTCTTTTCAGGCGCATTTTTCTGCGTGCCGCTTTGCTCAGAGATCTCGGACCCTCCGAATCAGCCGACGGATCATTAATTAGAGCTGCAGTTGCTGATTTTTTCTTTTTTGGAAGACAAGACAACGGATTTGGACCTTTAGGCTTTTTTTTAAGGCGTTTAACCTGCAAAAATCATTCATAAAAAGTTTAAATTGAAACAGCAATACGTTAGAGTTACTTAGAAGTGGGTACCTATAATAACAACATAAAAGCCCTATAAAAACCTCTTTTACTTTCTCATTTATATTGGTTCAGCTTTTACCTCAATATGACAACATTGTACTCACTGATCTCATACTAGATAGAAGTGATGAATATTTCTATTGAAACGGGCATCAGTGACAGAACAAAGGGACATTTTCAGCCCGCGTAAATTAAAAATACTGATATTCTCTTGCTAAAACAGAGACACTCTCCTATCTGCAATACATATGTGTGTCATTTAACCAAACCCATGCTAAGTTTGGCAACTACTTGACATAGATTTATGGTAGATGGTGGCCACCTTTTTTAAAGAATCATCTATGTTCATCTTCTTCTTAAGATGACTGATTGTCTTAAGTTGATTCTCGGTGAGATCAGTAGCACTGCGACACTGCTTAGCGACATAGTTGACTGTAGCAGATGCCGGATCTTCCAGAGTGATTGCGTTGTGCAACTTCAAACGCGGAATACCTTTACGAAAATGAGTATCATCGATATGTAAATGGTATTAGTACAAATCAGCCCGATGAAGATATGCTTATAACTTAATATTGGCTTATCTTTCTTTAAAGGTAGACACGGAAGGACTATACTGGTAATAATAGTGTGTTTACCAATATCAGTAAAATATATTAATAAAATTACTTAATGGGAAGTTGAATCACGCTATTTTCTGAAATCAAGGAAAAGTAATGGACAGCACTACCAAAAAGTAGAAACCGTCATTTGTAAAAGGAAACAAAAAGGTTTATACTGAGACTGGTTCGATCGATACTATCTTTCCATTTCGCGTAATACCTGTTAAAAAATTGAAATTGAACTGAAATATCAAACTCATTATATACATTCAGAAGCTAATCAGTTAAAGTAACTCCGAAGTTATTCTTATTTTTTCACCATCCACATAGTGTATTTGTTGATATCATGTAGCGTTTAAAAAATACCGTCGATTCATGATAATATTAGCGCCATTAACATGTGCTGTCCTGTTACAAGAACGTCTCTATATGTGAACTCTTTGAAGTAACTCCACTTGAAGGCACTGGTTTTACTCGAACCTAGATTGAGGTATACTGATAGCTGACGTCCCGAAGTGCCTCATAGTGGTTATTATCTTATTACAATTTAAGATATTTGTCGCTTTATTATAATTTGGCATTTAGTGGTCACTAATCTCACCTATTAATTTGTGGATTTCTTCGGCAAGCTCTGGATCCTGAGTCGCCACGAAAAAATTCCTAGGGTTTCCTTCACGCACCTTCAGCAATCATCCGCGACAACAATCACACCGGAACCAATCGCCAAAATGAATTCCAAGGAAACACAATTCGATAATTTCGGTTAATACTTGACTATATCATTTTTACTAAAGATAAGACTGCTGGTAGCTTAAACGACAAGACTTCCGTGTCACTGGTATTATTCCTCAGTATATATCTCGGTGAAAATATATTATTGTCAAATATAATTAGAGAGTAAATTAGGCGTAGAGCTACAAATAAACACAAAACTATAATAACATTTATAGTGTTAATAACAAACCATATCAAGGAGACACTTCGATGCAGCAACAGGCTTCGTGTGCGGGCATTTTTCCACTCGGAAATTCTTAAGAATCTGTAGAGCACCGTTTAGAATTGATAATTTTTGGGTTTCCACGACAGCACATTGTGTGGTGCAGAGTGTAACTTCGGTTCGAAAATACTTGTCAATTTGTTCCTAGTAATACACACAAATGGAAGAAGTCAAACTTGGTACTTTTTCTGTTTATAATTGGCGTTGCTACAAGTTTAACTGTAAATTAGTTCTCCAATTCGAGCTGTCGGGAGTACTGAAAGGTTTCGGCATTTATCAAAAGCTGACTTTGAAGTTCAACCAACATGGATGAATCGTTAAATAGGAAATATCCGTTCGTAGAAGAAAATAAAAATCTCAGACGTACGCTTTATTATTACCTGCATGCGACCAATAGCCTATGTGAAAAATTGATAACTTACCAATCAGCCAAAACTGGCTAGAGATAATAAATTTACATGTGGAAAAGTGCACCGATAAGTGTAACATTTAGTACGAAGATTTATAATTTTAATTGTGAAAAGTATGGACTTAAACGGGCTACTTAATTTGTTCAAAGGTTCAAAGGGTAAACTAGAGATCTGAGCTGATCAATGCACAACGATAAATAATGTAATACCATATACCGTATTCTCACCGCTCCTCTTTTCGTTAATAAGAATTCCGGCTGCATAGTTGTTCGTAACACGCAGTTCGAGCTCGGTTAATCTTTTTTGAGTCATCAAATATAAATTATTACAACTTTAGATAATATCTAATCTATTTTGTGCTCGGAAGTCCATATACAAATATTGTTTTACAAGTGGCAACTAATGAAGTTCACTTCATAAATAAGCATAAAAGGGAATTATTTAAACACTTGTGTAAACCGAAACAAGTGTGATTCACGTAGCATCGTCCATAGCTGCGCCTATACCTTCACTTGTCTTACGTGAGTATATCCATTCTCATCTTTGTCTCACCTTAATATGAATTTTGTGCCGCAAAGCTGCCTGGCAAAACGTCCCATCAGTAAGTACAAAATACCGTGATTTCTCGCCTAGTTGAAAATGCCTCAAGTAAAACGCCAAATTCTTCTGTGCCCGCTTATACCTATTAATCCTCATTGTGCCGCAATACAAGCCACGCAATCACTCGAAAGGAGCTTCCACGAGAGCTGCCCGTACTTTGAACAAAAGTGCGCGTATTAAGTTCATTTAAGCGCATTCCACATCCTCAAGAGGTTCAGCTTTATAACAATCGCGAACAGCTCCAAATATAAACATCTAATAGAATGCTCAAAGCGGACTGCGTAGCTCGCTCACGAGCACATGTTTAGCACGAGTTCTAGTTTTTTCTTATTTACAAACATAGCACCTGCCCTCTCCAGTCGCCCTTGTCAAAAGTGTAACAGCAATAGGTAGAACTTAACCAACTTGTTGACATCTGTAGTGGTAAACCTTGAGTCGGAGAAAATGTCTTACCGGTGGGCTCTAGGACCGTCGTCATAAACACTTGATTTACATTAAAATGTTGTAAGAACTATTAACTTTTTAATACTAAAGGAAACCAAAAAAAAACAATGGTCTTCTGTGTAATAGAAGCGTATTGTGCCATGATTCAGCACTATCAAAAACAAAAACACCTTCGGCTTTAGTATAGTGCAAAACACAGCATGCTGTACCGTCTACAACGATGAATGAGCCAAACATTGCATAAATGGACATTGAGTTGCCGCGCTAAAAAATAAATCTTAAATTTCGGATCATAAACAGCGGGACCATGCCTCTGTTCTCTAGATGTTTAATCTGTACTTCTAATGCAGCCGCCTCGTATATGGCTTGAATCCGCGCTGTTTGTTTTTCCCTTGCCGGGAGGAGCGGCGACTACAATGAACACGACTGTCCGGCATCTGTTTCAACAGTTAACATTCTCATTCGTCCAAACGTCCCGTAGAAATCCGCTTCAAACAGTTTTTGCACCACCTCACCGCAACATAGGTACAATGGGGGTGCCCGCGGCTCATATCGAAGCCAAGCTTAAGGAGAAACTGGAGTGCACCCACGTGGAGCTCACTGATCTGAGCGATGGATGTGGGCAAAAGTTCGCCGCTGTCATTGTGTCTCCGAAATTTGTCGGTTCGTAACAGTGATCGTTTTATTAATAGTTCGTTTTTGTCAGTTAGTACAAATGTGCGATCTTCCAGATAGAATTATATACATACAAACTGCTTCGTAGTAGTTGTGCGCAAGTGTGCGCGATCATCCTGGCAACAGCTCTTACCAGTCCCGTGTTTGTAAACATGCTGCGGGGAGGGGGGAGGGTACTCATTTTGTTTAATAAAAGCAGGTACTTTGTTACATAAGTAATCTAATTTACGAGTTACTTATACATTTATTGCGGTGGCTGTGAAAGGAATCGTATTTGGAGGGAAATCAGATGTAGCAGACTTGGTCTATGAATGGTTATGTTTACATAAAGCACAATTTATCCGACCCAACATAATTAATATATCCTGCCCCATACCACTACGATTATTGGTGATTTTTAAAGTTTGTATGTGTTTGAAGTATAGAGAATTCATAACAATGAATACGTTGTTATGTTGGTCGCTTAATAATTATTACTCCAGAAATTGTCATGAATATACAAATATTGTAAACCAAACATGCCTTAATTTAATACCTTACCTAATTTGAGCATTTATCTACAAAATATTTAATTAACTTTGACTCTGTATTTCATTTTCTTTAGGTAAGAACCTGTTAGCGCAGCAACGACTCGTTAACTCTGTGCTCGCTGATGAACTCCAGCAAATTCATGCATTTACCCAAAAAACGTTTACGCCAGAGGCATGGCAGAAAGCTACTGGTAAATAAATTAGGAACTCGGAACATCAAAGCAGTTTTATATAATGAATAAACGCCCGGATTATGTACGTGGTTATTACGTATTGTATTTTGTATTAATATTAAGCTTACTTTGCTAAGATTGCAACATGCTGTTGTGCTTTTTGTACTCTTGTGACATAAGACATGATACGAGTCAATCAATATGAGAGTAAAACAAAATATATATGTAGTATACTACATACATTCATAGATACTGGATTCATACTGTCGCGAATCGAGGATATAAAGCTCCGATTATCTTTGTTGTCGCTAGCTACAGAGCGCTTGTATTTCACAGATGTGGCAAACAGTGCAAGCCGATCCAATTAAACCTATTTTTCTTGAGGTATTTAGCTTGGAGATCGATTTGAGTTTGTTTGAGGATGTTTGAAAAGGGAAGGTAGTCGTTTGGCGAACGAATAAATGGGTTTACCATTTTTTTAAAAATTTTTTAAAATGGTTCACGGACTTCGTTCTAGCCCAATTATTTGACTTAGGGATATTAAGCAGAACGTAAATTGGTAAAAGAAATTTTCTACCAAAGACTAGCTTATAGTAAATAAAGCAGGTAGGTATTAACAGTTTTTGGCTGCAGTGATAACTTTCGATAGGTGAACGGGATAACCATCATTAGCCATTAATACCAAAATAATTAAATTTAGTCGAAATATATCAACCTGTGTGAGAACATTTTTGTTTAAATTTCAAAGATCTATTAACTATGACGTAACTAGACATTGTGTAATAATAAACATAATAAAGATGAATGAGTATATGATGTAGGTATATGTAAAAATGTTACCATTTAAGTTACTTACCGTTACCAACATTTGTTGTATTATTATGCTGTTACCCATAGACTTCATTGTCTTCAAAATGAACGATCTCTTTGGCTAAAGATGTTTTACTAAGATGCCGAATAACCATGACATAGCGTTCTTGATAGTATCTTCAAAACTGTTTTAGAAAAATGGCAAAGCAAAAGATTTTTAAAAGGAACTAGATTTTTTCTGTGATACGTTTATTTTTCGTATTTCGAAAAATATTCCAAATTTACCGAAAATATGCGACAAATTTATATGATAAATAGGAAAAAGTCGCCATGTAGCCAAAATGAAAAATCGTCCGAGATAGTTATGATCAAATACTAGCAAAATTATAAGAAATACTAGCCGAATCGAAAGAAATCAACTTCAGCGAAAAATGTGTAGGGCCATATGATGAAATTTACGAAATTGCAGGGAAAACTTACATTGCGTTATTATTGAATATGGCCTACATTTATTGTCTTTTGACTATGGCTTGCGTGGATCAGTTGATCAGAAATGGTTACTTTGAAGTAATGAATTATGCTTATAGGTGTGGATTTGATAAACCATGATGATCAATAGATCTATAGAATCTACACTGTTATTCTATTGAATTTCAGCCTAACCTTACTGAGATTTGTTATTCTCAGTTTCGCGAAATATCGCTCACGCGATCTATGCATTTCACTAATACTAAAGATTATACCTACAACGCAAACCGACCCTACGTGAGACTACATATGCGCTTCGTCGTAGATCTTTGCGCTGTTGTTTCCTAATGCTACAATACTGACAAAGCACTTTCACAGAGAGTTTTCCACATATGTCAATTCAAGCGATTGACAGATATAACTATTTCTTATACAGTGAATATTAATACGTTATTTTTTAGTTTTTGGTCTCTGCTAAATGTTATTTTTTTCTTGACTCGCGTCTTCGTAGCGTCTTCGTCAAAACGTAGGGCGAAAAATGCGTTTTATGATGTAAATGAGCATGATCCGTTATTGCAAACTGAGAAGACTGTATTTCAGTCTAGCAGACGAATATGCCTAATCAAAGATATCTGTTCGGTGTAGACTGAAACATCACTACAGGTTTTTTCAGCGCAATCTTTTTTTTAATTGTCGGTGGTTTGAATGCAGCCTCTTGTTCTCACAACACCATGCCTTTGAGGTGCATTCTCCCACGCTCTGTGTCTGTTTTTTCCATCCTAATCTCTATCATCAACTAGATTAGCCCATTTGCTTGGTCCCAAAACCATCAGTGGGTTGTTGAAGCTTACCCGCGAGCATAGGAATGTATATGCTGAAACAAGGAAATATTTAGTAATTCGGCTCGTTACTGGAATTGGAAAGGCTTTTCCGCCGGCATAGAAATAAAGATTCCGCGAAGGAGGAGTTGTCGGCAAAAAAGCAGTACCGCAGAGGTTACAAAGCACACATCCACATCATCGATAACTGCATATTGACTGACCATAGCCCATTGGTGCGGTGCGACAGAGGTTAGAAAATACAAGGTGGGAGGCAATTCCGTTGGCTTTAGCATGAACCTTAACTAATATGTTAATCGTTACAGTTCTTTTGCAGAGATCAAGTCAGGTATAGCTTCATTATGTCAAAGAGAGGATTCACAATAATAGAAACTTGACATGTAACAATACGGAAATACCAAATGTATTGTATGTAGTATTGGCAGGAACATCATTCTCGGGCACATTCCATGCATAGATATTATTTATAAATTCAGTCCGAGCTACTGCTTTGGATTAATTGCAACTCCGGCCTTACAAGTCATTTAGTAATCTAATATTAAAAGTCGGTTAGAAGAGTTGCTCTTTGGATACGTACAAGGGCACATATATTTCGCTGCTACACGAGCGAGGCAATAAATCGCAAACACATTTTGCTCCCCTTAAGTGCACAAGTTTAATGAAGTTTTTTTCAAGAAGAAGCGCTAACATTTGCAAGAAAATTGATACGAATTATATATATATATATATATATGAAGGCGCTCAAACATGAGAACGATACTTTCACAAAACAATTAATTGATACAAACGAACATTCACATACGGATTTTACATAATAAAGCATCTTTGTAAATTTGATTAGTTGCATTACGTGTTTATTAAAATCAAGTTGGGCAGATGTTGTTACATCTAACGGAATGCAACATCGTTAAAGTTGTAGTTACAAGCAAGGGCGATAAGATGAAGCTTAAATATAATAGGGTTACTGATAGTAATAGCATGCATGGCAGTCAAATAGAAATGTACGGTGAGGCAATGTTAGAAACCATTTCAACTCACAAACAGTATTACTAAATGTCAATTAATATTATTGAAATTCCTTCTTTCAAATGTTTAAAGTTAATGTGTTTTTGCTCGTAAGTGACTGCCTTAATTCGTTCGTTTTTAATTTCAGAAAACGTCTGGTTTATATAGAATAAAACAGCAAACCCGCCTTAGCGCAAAAAAGTGCGCTGCTTTCAGAATTTGAGCAAAGATCAGGTATTATTTATCATGTTCACCCTCACCGGGACCATAGACTTCTTATTTGGCTGAAATTGACAGTTTACGCTGCTGTCAGTTTTCATGCGACCTTTAAAAATACAAGGAAGATTTCTAGGAGGTGACCCAGAAGATCTGTAATAATTTAGATCTAAAGAACACACGAACTTTAGTTTTGTAAGAATTAAAAAAGCTATTTTTGAAACACCTACATTTTTTAGATAAAAATAGATCGATAAAAATCAATAACCGTTTTCAAAAATGTAAGATCAGTTGTCAGTTGCATCGTTAAGTTTTGAAGGTTTATCTTCTTATAATTTTCTGTGCCGTTTTGCATTTTTTGTGCTTAATCGCAATTTGAACTCTTGCATTTCTAGAACCTTTGGCTTGCTGCCAGCCAATATTTCGCTAAAATTCTTCGCATATGAGCAACATTTTACCGAGTTTACATATACCGATATCACTTGATACAAGTTTATAATTAAAAGTTACGTGAGGATCGAAGTAGGGTGTAGTTTAGGTTGTCCAACTATATATCTATTATTCTCTATTATACTGCAGTAAAAGTCCAGATCAATGAATTAATCTACCATAATAAACGATTGAGCCGGTTTTTTAGGAGTTTAATCTTTAAAAGATTTGGGCTATGTTTACTTTATAGAAATGTACTAAAAGTTAACACACTACGAGCAAGATTTTAAATCCAAAGTCGCCTAACCCGCTTGACGAACATATTGGAAGTGAAGACTGAAATCCTCAAAAGGATAGCCGACTAACTCAAATGGTCAAACTCTCCATTGCGCTCTGCTTGTAGCTAACATTTACTTAGATTTAACATCAGCGAATCAAATCCTTTTCCGAGGAAATGAACCTTACGAGAAAAATACGAATCACCGCTTTTATCTGTCTCATTTAGAGTTCCATAGTTTTTGGCTTTTTTTTTTTAAATGACCACATGTTACACTACCAGAGGACTGATCTGATTAAATGTTTGTTTTTTAGTAACTATACCGTATATAACACTTGTCATGACTAGACTGACGAAGAGCTATACAACATTAACAAAAGCAAATAATTTATTTATATATATATATTACAATTACAATCACTACCATACCTAACCAAATGTTTCCCGACTCCACTCAGGGTTAGTTTGGTTTTCCACTAATGACTCCCGACAATTATTCCTGCTCTTATACTGTCTTCCGATACTCGCGAAGTACGTTAGAATTCATTTGAATCGTTTTTTTCTTACCTAATCGGATATGTAAACCCATACTGGACTTCACGTCTCGAATTAATAGAAACTGTAAATCTGTGCAAAACAAAGTGCTAAGAACTTTAGACCAACTTTCGTTTTTTACTTCGAGAAACTTTTCACGTAATGGTTTGTGTTCAATTTAAACCAAAGCGATAAACGTAAATATATATAAACAAACGTATTCGCTCTCGGTTCGTAACAAAACAAATCTCACTGCCGTAAGAGAAAACACTCGATTCAAGTCTGCTAAAATAGTTTTGATTGACAATGACGATAGGTACAAGCACGTGTATGCTAACCAGTTTAGTGAGGTACTTTGAATAACAAGCGATATAAATGACCAGTCTAATCGTTATCGTCTGGTACTTTATATGGCATAATCGTTGGCGTGACGTTGCCTGAGATCGGCTCGTAGCTTACGGGCAGATCTGCGCTCGGATGCACCTCGACAAAATCCGGTTTTGCCAATAGATCCTGTTCCTCTATGTCTGACGCTGCGGATGATTCTACCATGTCGCTCATGACTTCAGTTGGTTTCCATTCTCTCCTCACTCTCCGAATTCTACCAGGTCGGATGTTTTTAGCACGGATGCTCTTAATTTCCCTGATGTCTGTGGCGAGTGAAACGATAAATACGATCGTAGTTGTCACAAATACCCATTCAGTGGTCACCGATGCCATGTTCAGATAATACGCGTCACCTTTCTGCGTCCAGCAAAGCTTCGTTGCCCTGAATATTTTGTTATAACAAGAAATTTATAAATCATTTCAAACGTGTGCCGATGCCCAAATGGGAACAGGGTTTATTTTACGATTATTTTACGATTTTCATTCTATTCCTATTGAGTGATCCTAATTTGTGCATGAATTTTCGTCCAGCCGAAAGAAGACCATCGAAAGTTTTCTTTCTATATTTATAATGATCAATTGAGATATACTAAGAATAAAATCCTTGGAATCTATCCACCTTCCTTTCGAAAACTATTCACCAATATGTACGTGCAAAGCCCTGTTAAAAGCACGAACAACTGACGTTATTTGTCACCTAATAACGAATCTGATTAGCACTTGAACCGGCTTTGATTTCTATTTTCTGTAGCCTAGGATGGTTTATCGGGGTGCTAAGGGTCGACTAACTGTCGTAAGTTGAAAGTCAACAGGAAATTGACGCTTGATAAGCAGTCTTCGTATATATGTATCATATATGTATCGGTACAAACCGCTGCAGAGGACATACGGCTTGAATGTCCAGGATAAAGATTACAGGAAAAGATGCAGTAGTGATCAAAGCACAAAACACCCGAAGTACTTTCATATATCGACTGGAACATCTTATCAGCCAAATGTACAAAGGTATTAAAGTAAATCTCATTATTTCTCCTGAAATAAAAAACATTTTAGATGTAGTATGAGAGATGCATTTAATATTATGAAAACAATTTGTGTATTTTAGAGGTTTTTGTCTTATCCTATCTAAATATTTACTCTGTCAGATCGTACTACAACTAAAGGCAACGAAACAAACCTAGTAATTATAATAACATGATTTGCTATTATATCAACAGTACAAGCAGGTGGTTCCACTACTCCGTCAAGTATTACGTTCTCTTAAGCTGGCGTTTCCATGTGCACTACTTATTGACAAATGTTATTATTCTCGAAATATCATTAGGTATATGTACCATTATTAGCGCATATCAATAAGCTGAAGTAAGAGCTTCATTCGGTTAGATATATATTAGTGTAAGATATAATAGATTACTGCAAGAGTAAATAAGTTTTCAACCGTGGATATAATTCTATCACGATCTATCCAACACTAGTGCTTACCCACAGTGTGTACGTCTGGCGTTATATTTCCTTGAAACGTCGCTGATAAAAGGCCACCAGCCGAAGCAAGATAGCCAACGATGCAGGCCCATGCATGAATAGATTTAGAGTTTGGCCGCTGTAAGATTAGCTATTTAGTGAAGACAAACCACATTTTCAATATCTTTTTCTTCAAATTCATTTAACACCCAATCGGCTCAAAGGTATTGAGAGCCAAAGATAGACAGCGTATATATTAACAAAATTCCGTCTGCTAGTGGGACATAGTTTAATTTAAATGTTTTGATTTGCGGAATAGCTCCAGATAGCCCAACACACATTGCCACTTTATTTTTTCTCAGTGTTCTGGAAAATATGTCCAAACTATCGAGTTAGAATATGAAGAGAGTGCTACGTCGTCGGCCTTTGTCACTGCATTAGCGCTAATTGCACTAAAAGAGAAAGTGAAAACTAACATTTTCAGAGGACCTATGCTTGCTCTCAATTTGACTACACTTTGCGTGCTGGAAACATCTATGGCAGTCACTCGAAAACGCTTGATTTTAATTGTAAATTACATGTATTTATTTGTTTAACTTACGTGAGTTATAAGTATACAATAAAATACACACATTTACAAATATGATTAAAACACAGAAAAAGCGAACAAAGGTTTTTCAAAAAGGTTTTTACTCATTTTTGCTAACGTCTCAACAATCGGTTTTGCTAAGGTTCTGAGTGAATGCAAAATACATACTGCACTTATAATATAAATACAATATGATAACTATCCTTGGCTAAGGTCGAATTTGAACATTTTGTAAAACCTAATAAGTATATAAATCTAAATCGGAGCAATTAGCATTAGATTAATAAGATTTTTCCTTGATAATCAACCCGGCGACCACTTAGCACCCCTATGAAAAGACTCCGCGATATTTCAGATACCCGATGTTCAGATAAGCTTTTGCGAAAAGCTTATGCGCAGTAATCTCCTTGTGAATTGATCAGCCCTTACCGTTTCGTACACAGCCCACACAGTAACGAACATAAGACCGGTATGAATGCCCATCATAAACGCAAAATAACACGACTCCGGAGGGTTTGCCATTATCTCGGCTAGGCGAACAAATCCTATGGAGTAATCAAATAACCTTTTACCTAAATGTTTGGTTACGTCCAAATTAAGCTTATATGTAGGTCTCTATAGCTTTCTTGTGCCGGAGAAAACTTCTGTGAACTCGTAAGAAGATTATAAAACAGAAAAATACTACAAAGAAGATCATAATCATGATTATATACGATATATTCTTTAAAGAAATTACCTTAAGGGCTGAATGACTAGGTATCCTCAAAATGCACAGAGCACCACTAGTAATCCTAATAGCTATAACAGTTAAAAGACCTTTATTACTCCGTATCAGATTATTCCATATTGTTACCGCTGTAGCCTCGTTATTGAGATATATATGTGAACCGTGAGGATTTGGAAGTGGACACGACAAGGTAGATACCATCATCTGCTTCGAAGGGGGCTTACCCGACACATGTCCAAGAGTATATGAGACCGCGGTTGATGTAATGTATGCCGACAGAGCTATCAAACCAGTGACTACAGGAAAGACGTCTTGAGGGAATTTATCTAAAAACTTGATAATCCAAGACGATGGCATCTGAAATGAAACGTTATCTAGTGGCATGATCACTGCGTTGGTCACTTTGTATGGCTCATCTAATAGCTGTTCATACAATTATAATCGATGTCAAATGCCTTGAGTTTCACCACATTTAAACAACATGTAGAAGTTTCATAAGTAGTCAATGGAAAGAAATTGTTCAATTGTAAAAATGCAATACAATGAGACAATCATAGGCATAAGCATTGAGATATTTCATGCAGAATGATGCATTACCTAAGTCAATGAGCTAACTTGTCTAAACTGTTAGATTAGAACTTTTGACGAATAATATGATAATTGAGTTAAAAATCTAGCCTATAGAAACAGTGATTTTAGTGTGGTACTTTATTATAATAGAATTAATTCGTTTTTTCTTCAAAGCGTAAAGATGTTTTTTGGTCGACATTTTAGACTGATTTAGCATACGCGAGTTACTAGCATTTCTCCACCGTACCCAAGTGTCTATTTGAAAAATCTTTTAACCCGAACAGCAAAACCCGACTGAGTATATCGTTCTCGGAGGTTTCGTTAGCATCAATGATTAGGCCATTCCGCAAGATAGGAATAGTGAAGACAGGCTTGACAGACAGCAGACAAATACATGAAAATTTTGAATTTTTTGTCAATACGTGTAGTAGAAATGCCGATTTAAGATAGACGGCACATATATCCGCCCATTTCTTGAAAAAGCAGGTTTTTTCTCTATTCGCTAATGTCAAGCGATTGCTTCATACGTCACTTGCGTAGGAGACGTTACGCAGAACTAGTAAGTTGTATATATTTTTTTTTCCTAGTTTCCTATGTGCTGTTGATATTTAGCGATACTCTACATAATGAAAATATTTTCTTCTCCAATGGAAGGGTGGCCACTACATGTTGATAACATGTGATACGAAGCTTCGAATAATTCTCCATAGTTCATATTGCGTATTAGAGATTTCCGCGGCTGTTTTGTATCTGCTGAATCAAATATTCACATTTACCCTTACATGGTTATATATGTGTAGCTTAACTTTACATCATGCCTGCCTAATCAGTAACTCTTCTAGCATCAATATAAGATCTGATCAGTAGCTAGTCAAGAATGAGTTTAATTTCTTGTAAAATCACTCTGCAAAACGCCCGGGCAGCTACTACCTATTAACTAAAGCCATCAACCAATTAACTCAAGCCTCGACGTCTTTTCTGCCCAATGGAACGGTGTAAACTTGCGTCGCCGCTTCGAAAGCACTTGGCCACCTATTTGATACCGAGCTGAATATTTTTGAAACACCAGTGAAAACTTCCGTAATCGTTCAGACGATAGTGGAACAGCTGTGCGCATGTATCTCAGTCGATGGGATTTGAAAATTGGCGGTTGGTGGAAATTAAAATCAGAAGGCATCCGCACTTCTGCAGGGGAAATTTTGAAAACATCGGTTGCCCTCGAGCAAATTCGAAAAATCCAACTGAATAATAAGTGTATACATTTATATAGAACTAATACCACCAAAATTAGCGCTTGTAAATCTACGAAGTATAACGCGCAGCAGAATTTCCAGTATTACCTGTTGCTCTCATGGGACACATTTATCCTACGTATCCACGACAGTGTCATCAAACAACACATTCATCATTCCTCCAATGGCATTTATTTACCGAACAACATCCTAGATATATTGGAAACCTCATGAAATGTCTGGTAGTTAAAAAGCTATTAATTCGGACGGGAAAGGCGCACTAAGCACGACCAACAGATTGGGACATCGTTGCCTCACGTTGCTGAAGACACCACTCGTTAGTTTTTGAATCCGCATGTCTGTAATCTACGATCATTTCTGAAACAAAGTTCGGAACGAAAACCATACAAAAACAAAAATAACAACAATATAACCGATTGGATTCGAAGAAGATGTTGTGCTTTTACATAGAATATTGTTTTGGTAGTACTTAGTATAAAACCGCTGCAAGCGGTGCTTCGCGTTACTGATTAATGACTAGTGTCTTTCCGTTGTTCTTTCAACTTGATCTAGTGAAGCAACAACCTAGAAAAACTACAGAGCAGTATAGCGTGAAAGTCTTCTTCCATTTTACTGAACAATAAGCATCGGTCTTATATTTTATTCATATGCATTTTTATACAAATCATCTTATTGAACATCTACTATGCGGTGCACGGATTATTTACAGAAAAACCATTTGTATGGCACTGGACTATCAGAAACGTACGCAACAAGCAATTTTGTATGTATAGCAAGCTTAAATTACACCAACGAGTGTATTTATTTTCTAATTGCCTACGATATTGTTCCGAATAAACGCACATCAACATTTCTCCTAAATATATATTTATTGCTTCGATAAAATGTTCATAAGGCCGTTGAGAGCAACACTGAACTTAGTACATTTAACATTGTTCGTATCTCTTGTCGTTTATTTTGATGTGTGCGGTTACACACATTGCTAATATATACAATATACAGTTAGGCCCAAACAGATAGAAAATGCGTCCCATTGATTCGTTTAAATTTGTGTCCATATAATGTTTGTATAGACGGCAGGCTTATTGTTTAGGCAATCTGCTAAATTATAAAGGAATAGCTAAAGTTTGTACTTCTAAAAACATGCGCAGATACGTTGTGATCTATTAAGAAGCTTATCATTGCATAAAAGGCATAATGGAAACAGTTCCGTTTCAAGGTGCCGTTTTCACATTTAGCTTAATCTTTTTGTCACTCTCGGTCTGTATAATTCTTCACGTATTGCCCTCTCTGAGTCCAGTTGCCAACCTACTCTAAATAAACTAAGCGCGTTTCGTGGTAGCGAAATTGAATTAATTGAATCAAAACGGCCTCATGGATGTTTACAGTTATATCAGTTCCTGAAGCTGGTATATCGGGTGCGCCACATTCGGAACATTGCGGTCAACACTCCTAAGCGCTACTTCGTTGTTGTTCTCTATATGGTTAACTTTCGATTTTGTACTTGACTGATCATTTTTAACGGCCGGGCTTCGCTGCTTACCATTGGCCCTTACGACTTGTGTCTGCACCACATCTAATCTTGCCTTCTTTGCCGCTTCGTTCTGTGTCATGTTCTTCTTTCCCCTACGTTTTTCCAAACGCTGCTTGCCTCTCTTTATGTCTGTAGATAAAGTGGCGATGTACAAGTTGATTCCTAGCACCATAAACCATTCAGAAATAACTGATGCCACGTGTAATTCATAGCCGCCATCGTCGGGCTTCCAGTGAAGCCTGTCCTTGCCCCTAGGATAACAAGCAAGATTGAATAAAGCCAATAAATATGGGCATCGATTTTACCCTGGAAGCTTAGAAACACCGTGTGATAAAATAAAGTGTAATTGCATGAAGAAATTTCCTCCGTTCGAGTAAAGAAATAGGACTGCATACAGTTCTGAAGTCGAAACCAGCAAAACAGATGAAGAAAATTGAAGTTCAAATAAGCATTCAATGGGTTGAACTTACTTGAATTTAAGTATCGAAACTAGGTCAGTCATACAAGTTGCAATAAGACTGAACGTAACAAGTGCGGCGCAAAACTTTCGAAATATACGCATGTAAGGACTGAGCACAAGCATTAGCCAAATGTACACGGTTGCAGGTCCAAAGGCCGTTAGTGCACCTATAATGAGAAATCATAGCAGATCTTTGCTCATGCTAAACTTCCTCACTGGCAAATTTCTAATCAACTTTAAACTGCTGGATCAGCCTTAAACGGATCAGCTTAAAGGATTAGTATTAGACTTTTCGATATAAGTGGACGGATAATTGTGTTCTCTCAGATTAAAACTACTTTGGTGGACCCAATAACGCCAAATCACTTCTACAGACCAAAATTGTAGTTTTGTATTAAGAATAGACTTTTTGAACAAGCTTCGTCTTTCTACGTGGTATGAAATTATATGATATTTTTGTTTGTTATTAAAGTACACGTGCCAAATAGGGTTATCAGTTAGGGTTTTGTTAAAGTGATACTTGAGCGTTAGTTGATACGAAACAAGCGAAAAAGGTTTGAGTGATTAATTTAGCCAAAGCTTATGGGGTCTCGTAATAACGCATAATTGCCCAAAAATAAACCCCCTAAATCGATGCGCAAGAAGCGGTATACCACGCTATGTAAGCTTCTCATAAACTGCGTGTAAAAATATTGAAACTACTGCATTTATCTTACTTAACTTGGATATATAATAAACTTGGAATTCTAAATAATTTATGGCTCATTAAAGCATGCTTTGCTCGTAAAATAGAATTCTCTATTATTATCGAACGAAAACTCAATGGCCCTTACCTACGATGTGTACTTCGAAGACAGTGATTTTCTGAAAATTGACCACAATGATGACACCCACTGCTGAAAGGGACCCGATTATAGAGACCCAGCCGTGTAAAGCAGATGGCTGCAACGTCTATAATTATTCATGGTTAGACAGAATGAAACGAAAATTACTTTTATTGATATATGTTAAAAATCTGCCTTAAGAATCAACACTCATCTAAGCTAACATCCTGATGACGCGATGCTGATAAGGCCACGAATACTCACTGTTAGGTTGGGTAATTAATTCTATCGACTATTTTCAAAAGCTTCCCTTTATCATCTGTTATTTACTTTTGATAAACCGTTCGAAAATGCTTCTCCTGTCCTATCAGTATGCTGTAACGGTAAGTGCCATTTCAACTTTAATCTTCAAAGATGAATTTTCCAGATGGAGAAGGTCTATTTCCGACACTCTCTGTACTATGCCTTTCGCCAAGACCGTGCTGTAAAGACAGCGCCGAAAATTTGCCTTTTTGCGTTGCAACGAAGCTACTACAGAAAGGTCTGCTCGAGAATTATTCGCCAAATTTGAAAATCGTATCTAGAACCTAGAAGATGCTTCCCGCTTTAGCCGATCATCTGAGTTTGATGACGACCACCTTATTTCATTTTGAAGAAACACGGCCGACTAACAACTCGGGAATTTGCCGAAAAGATAGATTGCAGCCACATGACCATCGTTGATCGCCTAGTGTTCCTTGGGTTTACTACAAACTTGGAGTTTGAATACTTTATTGACTCTCCAAATCTAACGTAAAATCGCGGCTTAATCGCGCATCTCAACATTTAAGCCCGTATCCTGTATCCCAGTAGCCGATTTTGCACAAATTTATCACCGGTGAGAAGAAGTAGATTTTATACGCCTACATAAACTGAAAGGTGGCTTAAGGAGAGGAACCAATGCCCACGGCTCAACTGGCCTTTCATCTAAAAAGATTATGCTTTGCATTTAATGGGATGACCTCGAGGGCTTTATTCACTTCGAATTGCTTCTTGCGGATCAAATAGTCGACTTCTACGTTTATTTGGCCCAAATGTATTGAGGTAATCAGGCTATTTTAAGTGGAAAGATCCGATGAACGAGACAGAGTTCACGACAAAGCGAGGCCACACACGGCAAACCTCGTCAGAGCTGCTTTTCTGGACTTCGAATAGAAGGTTTTGTTGCACCTCAGATTTTTATTTCCCTACGTCACTTTTGTTTTACCTATTTTTCAAATCCTACGTCAACAGGATTTCGTTAGTTTCGTTTACTGGGCAGTCGTTTTCGTATCCTTACCTCCAACATCAATCAACGACTCGAAACGTAGTTGGAAGCAGACGAAGCCCACTTTTTTGGCCATCGGAATATACTATCGGGAAAAAAAGTGAAAGAACTACGCGAGGCACATAACATATAACTTAATGTCACGGGGCAAAAGATGCATTTCCTATTCCGCAAAAAAGCGTAGAATTTTTTATCCAACCTAGTGATTCATGTAACTTTTCTTCGCTGTCGCCCCGATGTTATTTTTTCAAATTCAGTAAAATCCATAAATTGCTTGGGAATAAGCCTTTATCAAAGCGAATCTAACATTTTTTTGTTTAAATTTGTTTAGAAGTCGTAACTCATTGACACAATGAGAAGACGCGTATTTATCGTATCGTACGTTTAAAATAATTCCAATTCAACTTTAGTAACGTTTAATAGTAATACCTAGCGGAATTAACCAAAAGCTATAAACGCGCACGCTGAGCTTCAAAAAGGTCATTCTGACGAAGGATTATAATACGGTGTCTATAGAAAAAAGACGCTTTTCCGAGGTAGATACATTCAAGGATGGGCTGTCGAGAAGGATCTCATGGCTATGAACGATAATAGGATAATCACCCTTATCCACACAGGTTAATAATCTTTTCTTGTTTTCACAATTGTAGCTCGTGACGTTCTTTCTCGAATTGAAAGATGCCGACTAGCAGAAGAGTCGAGCAGCAGCGGTAAATATATACGTGATTTTCATATCCAAGATACAGGTTGACGGACAGGTGACAAACTGAATCTCCTTGCCCACAAGGTATTAAAATAAAAGCTAGAAATAACGAAATTAAAATCCGAAACCGATAATCATTTTTGCCAGGCAATGAATAAAGCAAAGATGAATAGGGTATCACAAAAGTACTCAAGCCCTGCGAGAATAGTATAGCAAAGGTAGCGGGTTCCCGTCAGCCAGGCGTAGTCTCTAACAACCAGTCTGTTAACGGAAACGGGAGATAGCAACAGCACATAGAAAATCCATTCGGCTTTGCAGAATCTACAGCATGAACAATTCACAGAGGGCGCACCAGATTGTAGGTGAGGAAGTACTTATCAAAGTCTGAAATCAGGCAGAAGGATACAACTTCGGTACAAAAACCAGCCCATCGAATTTACCTGCTGAGTACGACGACGAAAATCATGTAGAATATAGTCCTTGCGAGATAATTGAACGAAATAGAGGAGAAAATGGCCTTATCGTATTTTTAGTGCAGTTTTCGCAGAGGCATATTTATTTTCGAAGCAACACGAAAGGCTGCCCCATGGCACATCACGAGCGATCCGAAATTCTTTAATGGTATTCTTAAACGCCATAAATGCCTGTAATATAATCAACTTGCAGGAAATCAAAACAGCACTAAAAAAGGAAATATTCTTTTATCTGCGACAGATGATCTCATCCTTTTTGGATGATAGAATAAATCTCGAATCGGCTTCAAGCAAAGGCAGATCTAAATAGGAGTTTATCAGGGATCAGCACTCAATCTAGTGTTATGGAATCTAATGTACATGATGTACTAGCAGTATGTGGCCTTCGAGCTTTACATTTGGTAACATTCTTAGGCATTCCATCAGATGGCTAGAAACGAAGTGTATCTATGGCCAGGTTCGAACTGAAGAGCAATATATGACCTGACAAACATACTCGAATGTGCGACATAGGCACACAGCCTGGTGTGTCTTTACGTCTCCTTGATCTGGACGAATATGGCTTTAGACAAGAGAAGCAACAAGAACACGCTTCTGTTCGTTCAACGAGCAGTGTCCATCTATTCTGTAGAATAGATGGACACTGGCCCCAGTCACCCTGTCTTTGAAACTTTTCGTCTAGGGTGATTTCCTGGGATCTTCTGGCGTGCTGTAGGGCTAAGCGTTACGTTCGTAGAAAAATCGGAAATAGTTAAGTCACCATCTGCGTCCCGTACGGCTTGGGTTTGCTCGACGGCCCGAAGTACACGATCTTCGAATGCGAAGTTCTCGAAGACCAAGGGCAAAAGGAGTGCGGTCGTATATGGGGGACGATTAAAGAATAAAGAAGGCATGACTATATCGAAAGAATAGCTTTCTTTGAAACCAAATGAGGAAGAAGTATTAAAAAATATTCTAAGATGAAGATTGCTGACGAAAAGCGCCAACAGTAGCAACTGACCAGCTCCCTCCTCAAGGATTTGAAATAGTAACTAACGTGTATTTGTCTACCTGGGAATATATAGTAAAAGTATGGGGTTTCGGCAGTAACCCTTGTCTTTGTCATGACGGTTACCATCATGGGTATATAAAACTACCTGGTAAGGGGTAAGTTACACTTGCCTTGAATTAGACACGGTAAACGAGAGCTTTGAAACTGAACTGCAAGCAATTTCTGCGCCATCTACGTGTACGTAAAAAGCATTCATTTCTTCTTCACTTACAGAAAAAATTGTTCCCGTAGTAGTAACGTGTTTCTTAGCTAAATTCAAAGGCACGTGCTGGTCTAGGTTTGAAGCAGCACGTAAATACGCTTCATTTAGAGCTGGAGCAGGCGAGCCGCCTAAAACAATCCTAAACAGCTGTAATAATGTAAAATTCGAAGTTTATTTTAACGCCAGCAATTCTACTTGCAACAGGCGCTGATAACTTGTTATTACACGACAGAGCTTCCTTTTCAAATTAGCAAAAATAAGGTTAGAAGAAGGGGAATATTTAGGAGAACAGGATAACCCTGAAAATTGCCAATTGGTTTACGTATTTCAGTCGGACGTTAACAATAACCGGCTGGTAACATAAGCTAGTAAAAGAAGAGAAAAAAAGCTGAAACAGTGGCAGAAGTTATTCGATTTGAAGACTGTTCCGACTGCTTCTTACGGTATTTCAATTTTCTAGAAAATATTAAGCCCCTGGATCTGCTGAGTGTAAACAGAGCTAAGCCTGATACTAGACCTTCATACAACAACTAGCAACTGTCGAGTTTGCGTATTAACCGATGTTCCGACGCTTATTGAAGATATTCGGAAAGCGCTCTGCTTTCAGGAGACCGAATTACACAGAACATTTACACAGAAACAAACGTCAATATCGGCAAAAGTAGGTCCTTCATTAGTATCACCCCCCTGTTAAGACGTACAGCAACTGGAAACAATCGAACAGAGATAGTCGTTGTCGTGTCACAACACCCGAGGTTATACGCAACGAAACGCAGAGATACTACGAATATAACAAGAGTTGTACTTGTAAACCCATCTGTTTCAAATATTATCCCTGTCAATGTAGCCAGATCACTCCAACATCTAGCTGATCGAACGTGTTATTATTTCCTGTAGATAATCATAGCTTTTAATATATGTAGTAAACAGCGGGTATATCTATGCAAATTTTGTGGACAAAATTGTGTCATAATAAATTGAATGACAGTGTGGTCATAAATTGTTTTACCGTTGTATAGACGTTCCATACTGAGAAAAACACCATAACGGCAAAAAACGTCAGCATTATGCCAAAGACGCAAGATTCCGGTGGTACCGTTCCTGTATCGCTTATATGAACAAATCCTATAAAGCAACAATGATAATTAGGCAATCTAGTTAGTATACGGGTACCGAGTGGAATTGACATGGCATGACCGAAGTGAGTGAAAGATAGAAGCATTAGACTCTCAGAATGCCAAACCTACACACTAAAGCTATGGAAGATTCTACACCTGTCTCGTAAAATTTTAAAAAATAATAGTTTATTTAGCATCTGTTCAGCATTTACATGCACACTGTCCGGCTAGTCTAAACACATACTCTTATCGTTATTCAGACTTCTGCCTGATTGGTACGGCATACAGAGCCTAATCAGAAAGTAAATCTCTATAAGGCGAGGAGAACTAAAGCTACGCGTATCGTATAGCGGCATGTTCGTGAAGTGGCTCACCGGACACATGGCCTCTAGCGACTGCCATAGATGATGTAATCAAGCACATCGCCACAAATGAAATGACGGCTCCATATGGAAAAAGGCAGGCAGGAGCTTTTTGAAAATATGTCATCGGCAAAAACGGCATCTGAAACCGCTCATTGTGAGACGAATTTTCAATTTGCGTCGATAGAATTTGCGGCAAAGGGTCAGAACTATGACGACGCGATCAGTAAATTTGAGCTTAACAAGACAGCACCGCCTTTTGTTTTTGCAATTTCTAAAAAAAAACAGTACATATCAGAAGTAGTAGAACATATCAGAAACTCGACGCCTCAAATGCTAATGCAGTCGATTCTTGGGCAGCATTGTCGTAACGTAACCGCTTGAAAAAGTAAATATACTACTGGGTAAAGCTGTGTACGATATGAGACCAGGAAGCCATTTCCGAATCATATCGGCATGACAATTTCCTGTTTAAGGTCTGGTAAAAAAAATAAAGACTGGCGCATTCATCTGCGCCATTCGTGCCATATTCTAAATGCCAAAAATCTTTCTACACAAACTCTTGAAACTTCCGATAGTTTCAGGTAGAATTGTTATTCAGATCTAACGAGCTGCTCGGTAAGAATATACGTCGAGAAATGAAAGAACGAAAACATTACTCAGTGTTTGCCAGGGATCGAATCCAGAGCTCAAATTGATTTTCAAGCTTTGCTCGCGTAAGATATAATTTACCACCGCCCTCTGTGTGATTCCTCCTAATTTCCGTATATATTTAATCGTTGATGTTTTATTTCACTCTTTTAAATGCCCCCTTCAAATATTCTATAGGCATCTCAGTCATTGCGACCAGTCATATCACATAAAAGCACGTTCCCAGCAACTGTTCTACCTATATAGCTGTTCTAAAAACAAACTCTAATGGTTTAGTGTGTAGAATTCATTACCTGCCTTGCAAGAACTCCGAGGACGCCTAGGCTTTCTACAACAGGCTACGACGTTTTTGCAAAATAAAAGCGGAATAAACAGATTAGAAAAAAGTTCACAAAGCCTTTATTTCCGTTCACTTCGCAATTACAAAACATAAACCTTCGATTGTTATATTGCATTTACAATAAGGATGTTTTAAACAGAAATACAGGTGCTTTCCTACTTCTCCTCTATCTTGTTTTCCGTCATTAATGGAAGATAGTCGTATCTCGCATGGCCTAAACATTCCCAGTTATACTTGCTACAAAGTCCGAAGGTAGTATTACAAAAAGTTCTCAACTCTGCACTTTAATCCAGTTCTGTTATGATTTAAGCCTGAAGCTAGTATGACTAGCGTCCTGCTCCATGTAATGGTTATCGTTGTGGTTGTTGTCGTAAACATCAGAACGGTTTAAAGATAGTACACCGGAATCACTTCGGTTCATGGTTAGCTCTTTTAAAACAACTACTCCTAATTTGCCTCTGATCAATAGCATTGGCGTTATGTAGTTGTATCACAATTTGCCTCCATTCGATCTTCATGTCGTTCTGTATAAAGGCATGTCCAGCTTTTTAATAGTATGTTTCGTTAGCACATTTTCGTAGTGGAAAATTGTTCATCGACTATTATATATATATAGATATAGACACTATCTAGCGATAAGGTTGATTAGTATCCGTGCTATATAGCTAAGGCAATGGATGTTATAAATTCGAAATTTGCTACAAACGGAACGACAGCTCACCGTGACAAACGTCACGATATTGCCGAGGACATCACCTCTGTGTTCCGTTTGTTCCATGTACATATATGATCAGTGGCGACGGACTGGATGAAATGGTGCAAAGAAGTCATTGTAAACTTTACCTGTCCCTTTCATACGAAATGCCTTTTTCCCTCTAACATACTGTTTCTGTACCAAGGCCACACAATGACCAGGTCATAGTTTTGCTCAGTTCCCGCTAAATGTTCCTCCTTTTGTTTTTATGCGTACTACTATATTTTCGTTGTGATATAGTTGTCGAATACGGACGGTGCACTATGCGAAACTATATGAATGACTGGCAGTACATCGTTATCACAAGATTTTCGCATTATTATTATTTAGACCTCGAAATTGTACATTTCACATAGTTGAGTGCAACAATAAGACGAGATCAGTAGCGTCATAACAAGTGCCCATGCGTAATCTAAGTGTCGATGTTTACCATCGAATTCGCTCGCGTTTCCGATGTCCACAGTTGATTCGACAATTTGTAGGCTTTGTTCGTTACGATCGCATTTTCAGGATGTACAGAAACTTCATACAGTGTTCATTACGGGCGGATACGCAATCTTTTACTCGTACGTGTTTTTGCATCTTTAGATCAATCATTTTAATTAGACATATGTAAGATTCAAAATTTATTCGTAAAACTAATTAGTTACACGTCAATGCAAGGGATAACTGTTTTGTAAATCAGCATTTTGTCTCCTACCGCTCTTCCGCCACGCATATATGAATGTGAAATTTTTAGCTGACGCATAGAAGGTAACAAAAAAGTTGGATCTCGTGTTAAAAGATGCGTGCAAAACTATAGTATTTGTAGCTATTCTCTCATGGCTATGGCTTGGAAATCACTTGATTTCTAGCTACCATTTCTCAGTCACATGTGTAGTTCCTTGCATCGTACCTGGGCATAATCTCCATTCACCACTGTGTTCTTATAGCTGATTTCTCAGATAAATTATGTTATGTTACGATTACTATTCCAACAATTCTTCCTATTTTCATCATTTATACGAATAATACTATCCTTAATACTAAAATAAAAAATGTTTCAGCTAAGGCATTATTTAACTTCTAGCTCCGTCACTTTTTAAAAAAAGAACCTGATCTTTGCTTGAAGCTTTAATGTAATTAGTACCTCATTATGTGTATTATGAGTAGATCACGTAATTGTATCTGTGTCAAGTAATGTGTATGTTCGCGTGTGTAATGTGCAGCTTAACATGTTTGTCCAGCGCATTTTAAGAGGAAGATATTGATTTAGCAAGTTAATGAACTGCTCGAAAACGATAAAAGTTCTTTAACTATACGTACGCTGAGGTACACTACTTTGACTGTTTAATCCCAGAGTCATTCTTCTCTCGATTGCTTATTAGCTTTAGTAGTCCTATTGTGGCTGGCTCTATTCTTGTGCTACGAGAAGCATCTTATTTTTTGCTGTGGTGCCCTTGTATTATTGGCATCTCCTGAAGAACCGTTAATATTGCTTCTCTGCTGATGGACGCTGTTTCTTAAAGCTTCACTTGGTGATGTTCGAAGCTGCCTTTTTGCTGTCACCGTACGCTACGTTCTCTTAGGACATCTGGCTGAATGTCCGTTTGACCTGTCTCTCGGTCATTTCGGCCGTTAAGTAGTGAAATCTGCTCATCATCTTTGCCAATGTCTTTCGCAAGGGTAACGATGAAGGCGTTCACGGTTAGGGCCAATATCCATTCGCTGAAGACAGACACAACGTGCCATGAGTAGCCACCATCTTCAGGTCTCCAATGAGTCATTTTCGTCCCTCTAAAGAAGCAAAATAGGCAAGCGAGAAACCAATAAAAACTGGATAACGTAGTTGCATGAAGTACCGACAGAAAAAGTGAAAAGATAGGTTTGCAGCATATTTGTAAAATTCTTGCAGATAGTACATGCGTGTAGGTTTTTTCTCATTTCCTATTTATTAGACATCAATAGCAGTGCATTAAAAAGACTTAATCTTAAACTAAACGTGCCAATGCACATTACGCTCGTATAAAAATGCAAAAAAAGAGTTAAATTATGTCCAATACGATGCTCACTTAAAGTAATAGAAAGAGATTATGCCTGAGGTTGAGGTGAGGAAAAGACTTATAGTGGCAATCACGGAACAGCCTGCGCGGAATTTTCGTAAGTGTAAACTGGTAAACAGCGTAAGCCACAGGTAAACGGTTGCCAATCCAAACGCCATCATCGCACCTAAAATATGAAATGAGGTAGGCGGAAAAAGCAGATCATGTGCGTGAAAATTATTATATGCAGGCAATTTTAAAGCTTTCCAGTTAAACACAGAATTAAGCCTTTTCTTGTTCACAGTTATTTTTCACGGTATAGTCCTCTTCTAAACCTATACACGCTTTTTAGCGACGGTTCAACATCTTTGATGGGCCATCGAATTGGTAGCTGGCGTCTCAACCTGTGAAATATGCCTTTACACAAAATGGTCCCCTCTACGTTCGATGAAAATCTTCATACTCTGCGACACGTTGAAGCCAGGAAGAAAGACGCTGGGGACCAGATTGGATATAGTATCGTCAATCAACTCAAGCTCTAATTTGCAAATCTTCGCCATGACGACATGTGAAGTGTGAGGTACTGCGTCAACTTAGTGGAACAATACTTCTTTTTTGAGCACTAACACTCTTTGACCCAAGCGACGGTTAAACAGTAATTGAGATCGCAACGTATCTAAGATTGTCAAAGGTTCAACACACGCTCAATTTTACCACCCGAATATATTTTACGTTTTTTTTATATGTTTTGACGATTCTTAGAGTTGACTAAGAAACAAGCAAAGAAATAAACTACCTGTGATATATATATATATATCATTGTGATATATATCATTGCCTACCTGTGATATGCACTTTGAATATCACTGTCTCCTGAAAGTTTGCCACGACTTGGACGCCAAATGCCGCTAGGAGGCCGACAAGACAGGCATATCCATTAGTTGCAGTCGGCATTCTTATCTAATTCAGTTATTCAAACATGAACAGATAGAAAGATTCTACTCGATGTTAGTGGAAAGTGTGCAGGTGGGTGTTTTTTTACTGAATGTATTTGATTTTTCGAGTATACTATATGACCACCGCCATTCGTCTAAAATTGTCTTGTGGTGTGATATATTAATCTAGAGTGGTATCTGTGACAAAGTTAATTTTTGTATTTGAGTCTATTTTGCATGCTTGATATTTCGATAAAAACAGGATTTGAATAGAGTGACAGAAGACCAACGAGATCTGTTTCCGGCTACTGACTGTTTGCATATAAAAAAAAAATAATTAAAAACTTTTCCATCGCTGAAAAACATTACATCATGCAAATTATATTTAGGATATGAGTCACTGTCAACTTATTATTTTTCAATTTCTTTTATTTTTATTATTTTTATCTCAGTTACTTATCGACTGGTTTAAGTCATTAACGAAAAGCCCTAAATAAGCAATTCTTTATTGTATCATATATAAAATTATTTTAAAAACTAGGAAATCCAGCAGTCACTGGCGTACAATCACGGTAAGCGACTCTGTGTCTTTCACCCACTGGGCTAGAACATCTGGATGTGTTTAGAAGTTAGGCAGCCGACAAAGGTCAACAATGGAAAATAACTCTCGAATGTTGTTAGATGCATGTGAATATTACCGTTGCATAGACGTTCCATATTGTAATGCCAGTGAGGATGGCACAGATGCTGAGCATAAGACCAAAAATGTTTGCTTCTGGAGGAAATGTCCCGATGTCGCTGATGTACGGAAACCCTGCGCAAGAGTTTACAGATTGAACAATTTTCTTAATTTAAATGTCATACGCGTTATATATAATCCAAATATGAATAAAAAAACACGAAGAATACAAACTGTTATGACACTTACCCTTCAGTTACATGATGACATTTTGCAGTCAAACTAGAGTACTTTCGGCCAGTAGTAATGATAACGATATCTATAAAGATATTAGAGATGGGGTACATCTTGCCGCTAAAAGCCTTAAGCTTTAAACTTCATTCGATGCTAGCAACCAAATTAATTCGATATAATTATATCTCCTGAGATAATGCATGACTCCAAAAAGGTGTTAGGCTACTTTTTTAAGTGAAACAAAATCTATTTTTTTTTTTCAAACCTACGTACATTTTGCTCTAATCTAGAAGGAAAATAAAATTTTCGAAAATGTAGAAAAAAAAACACGATTTTTTTATACAAAACTCACCAGAAACATGGCCGTATGCGAAGGCAATCGGCAGTGAAGTGAAACACGTTGCGAAAAAGGTGGCGCCGGCGAGATAAGGAAAAAGATCCGGTGAAATCAGGTTGAAAAACGTCACAGGAGACCACGGTGGCATCTGAAAAGGTATAAAGGCTGTTGTAAGCCGCGGGCTGTGTCATTTAATAATTTATAAATTATACGCCGCTAGCAGACGAAATTTGCTTCGTCAACAGTCAAGTCCTCTAGACGCTAGTAGTTGATACCGGATTATAAGAAAAATGAGTTCAGAGGGAAAACGTCTTTTAGCCTTGAAAATCAACGCTTAGTGGTCAAATTCTTGAAAGGCCAAAGCGCAGTGGAAATCCATCAAGTATTGGCTGAGGTCTTAAGCGAAAACACAATGCATGAGCTGTGCAAGCGCTTTAAAAACGGAGATCGGAGTGTTGAAGACCAGTGAAAAGTTTACCAGATGTCGGGACCGAAAGGATAAGAACGCATTGTCTCAATAGAAGAAGCTTTTCATGAAAGCAAAACAAGAGTCTTAAGGGCTGTGCGGGCCAGAGCCGGCATTTCACGTGTAATGTGTTACCCAAAATACTGAAACTGAGTAATGGAATGAAACCTCCGTGGATTGATTCCAGGCCAATTGGAAAGGCATTTGGTTCACTCTAAGTGCAATCTACAAAGCATGGATCGACAAGAAAACCGGGACCATACCGTCGTCATAGATGAGACATTATTCAATATATTTTCAGCTGGGGAAAAACTAGACAAAAGAACTCGAGAAAAATCGAGTTCAGTAACAATGACAAACGGGCGCGTACTTAAAATGTTGGTGGCATTTGGAATAAACAACAGAAACAACTGTAAGACACTCATTGAATATAAAACCTCTCAGTTCTCAAGAGACTTATGGCCTATTGGAACGGCAGTCAGAAACACACAGTACTTAATGACAACGCCAGACTGCATCAACTTGACCAAGTTTAACTATTTCCTGAATAGAGCAGAGCTAGGACTTCAACCCAGATCTAAATCCGTGTGATTCTAGGGCTTTCCGTTCCCTATAATGCTAATGGAAAGTACGTCCCACTATTGATTTACTGTCGGAAGTCATAGAGAAATAACGTATAGGTACATGGCTGGCCATGAACTGCCAGAGGGCTAAAACTAGCGTGTACAAAGTGAAGTATCTCTATTAAGTATTATTATAGCGATATTATAACGGCGATTCAGTTCGAATGATTCTATTCACAGCAAAATCATTTTCGCAAATAACAAACCTACAAGTATAGGGTCTAAATTATTCGTTACACTATTGACTGTCTTATACTATTAAGAGACGGGATACTCATAGGCTGATTTTCTCCTAATCCAGTGAAAATCTAGTTTGAAACAAATGTTTCATATGAAACGTCGATTGTGCCAATGTTGTTCGAGTTTAAACATGAAACATAATTCATACTTAACTGCTGTTGTAGAAGTTAAGCAATACAATTAATTTTTAGTTAATATTTTTTTGTAAATTATTTGCGAGTTTTCCTCAATAAATTTTATCTTTACGATTTTGAAGCCGTCTCTGAATGGGTATGGCAGCGGAATAACACAGGTTTCATCAACGAAGGTTGCATTAACTTTTGACAATCAAATGCAAACATAACAAAACTAGTTTCCATTCTATCATAATTAAACTATGTATGTGGATCTTCAGAACATCTGAAGGTCGCTTGCGATATTTCGAAAACATTGATGAATTGTCAAAAGTGTTTCCGTCACGTAATTGAACAAATAAAATGCCTAATGCTCTAAAGCAAGCCTTATCTCAGACAAGTCGCACTCCTTCGGTAGAATTCAGCATTTTTTCATAATACGAAGGGCATCAGAATCGACAATCCACAATAGTTGCCGAAGTAGTAATAAGTAGCATAATATAAGTAAATATATAACAATAATAAGTAATAGTAATAAGTAGTACAAGTTTCTGGTGACGCTTTGCAACCACCGAATTTAACATTTGGTCAACGGTTTTTTTTATTTTAGTGAGCATAAGACAGAGCTCGGTAGTGCATTTCACAGATTGTAGTAATATATCGCTCTGCCTACATTATTTAATCCAACTATACCAATCTCATTCATTCATTTCATACAAAGACTGACATAACTCTGCCAAAGGATGTAAAGCAACTGCCGTGTGTTCACAGTTTAAAAATGTATTTTACAATTAAAGATAATCGGTCTCATTAAATATTACGGTGCGCGCGATCAGTGTCGCCTCTTAGGTATCACGAGAGCGGGATGTTTTTATAGGAAAATTTGGGGCTTAAAAAACAAAGCCGCTATCCACAGCTCTAAAACCTCCTTCCGCCGCTGTTACAAAGGACCTAAGCGTGGAAATAACAGCTCAACTTACAATAATAACATAATACAGACACTCAAATATTGGCGTGATCTTATTGAATTGAGTAACATAACATTATTTATTTGTCCCCACAAGTAAACAGCAATTTTTTCTCTGTCAAAAGTTAGCATTGGTAACAGATGACTTCTATAAGCGTTATGAATCAACTTGTATATGTTTTTTTTCTTATAGACCGAAATAATACGGTCGGTTGTTATTGAAGCCAAATAGACAGCTTACCTCGAGGTCTTGTAGCGATGGCGCGAAGGCGCAGGCGGAATTTCGACGAACGGTGAGAGAGTCACTATAGATGATAATCCAACCACTACGTTCACGCATTCATTCCGTGACGGAACACACAGGCACAGGAACAATTTTTACGTGAACAGGTTACTTCGCACTGTCTTACTCGTTGACTAGAGGGAAATGGCCTAGTAGATAACAGTCTGTTTTAGCAGATGTTCCTGCTTGATAATAGCTAATATGGATATCTCATATCTTCGTTAGCAGCCGCAGTGCTTCTAGTGAACCAAGGCATAAAGATCACAGGCGGAAGATGATCGCAACTAAAATGCAATTATTGTTATTTCTAATATGTTAGAGTGCTTTAGTGAAGTGAACAATTAGTACATTGCTGGACAACGACAAGCGACTACCAGAAGGTTCAACGTCGCCGGTGTGGCGATTAGCGCCACGGATAACGCACTGGGTAACTCTCATTGAGACACTGCGCTTCCTTTACAAGAAGCAGCAGCGTAAAGCCCGCACCATAGAGGTGTTTCTCTGTTATCATTCCTTGATAACAACACGATAATGAAACAGAGTGAGGATTATGGATGAGAACTATTGAGCACTAGGTTTCTTCTATAGCCACCGGTAACATCGAGAAGAGGACAAGATTCTAACATGTTTACGACCACGGATCCGTTGATTAGAGAGCAGCGCGCTTATTCGACGGATATGAGCGGCGTTTTGCCACCGCACAAACAAAATGGAAAATGAAGTGTGTAATTGAATCATAAAGCGAGGTAGAAATGCTTTGAGTTACTTAAATCGCAACGAAAAGAAATTCATAAACCAACGAAATATTTTGAATCGGTATATCAGACTTTAAATTAATCTCATCATTCAAACTGATCATGAAACGTTATAGAATAATGTCAACACTAGCACAGAGCCTAAAAACATAACGAAAGGAATATTTGATCCAAATGTATCTGTAAACATTGAAAAAAGACATCATATAGAACAACAATGATCTAGAATAAAACTAGCCTCTAAGTTATTTGCTTCTTAAAACCCGGCGCTTCAATCAAATAGATACAACTGTGTTAGGACTTTATGACAAAGTACAAAATTAGTTAAGGAACTAAGCCCTTTATTTATTTGGCGACAATTTGGAGGTGAAGATAAACAGAGACAGTGTAAGCACAATTCCGACTTCTAAGTCAGAGGCTGGCAAACGAAACAATAATCATCATTCCGCCGCACGCTGGAGCCGAATATTTTGTCTCATAGCGAAGCCTCAAACAAAGTACGTCATCAATAGAGTCTTCGATGACGAAACATCGCCGACTGTGCGTTTTGTTACACTCTGAAACCAAGTACACCTTCCAGGAGAAACAAGCTTGTCTTTTTCAAGAATGCCTAAGTCAGCATAGATAAACTGTAGCGCTTTCTAATGCATAAGAATGAAGAAGAAATAAATCACAGATTATTCGTTATTTTATTTCGGAAAGGCAGCTTCGTAGTTTATCAGTACTGATCGCATCGAAAGGTTTAATTTTTGACACTAAGATAACTAGAGAACTTTTCTCCCATGGATAATTCTTTATTAATGACTTAACAGTGTTGCTTTAGCTGTGTATATTTTTCGAATTCTGTGGTTCGACAGGCTCGTCCGTGTCTTCCAGGTCGTGTCTAAAGAAGAACGATTTCGACAAATGTTTTTGCAATTTTCTAAAAATATAATTCTTAGCAGGCATACTTATTTGATATAATCACCATTCTCGCAAATACAACTTCGATTCAAAATTTAAGCAACTTAGACTTTTCAAGCGTTCCTTTTGCAAATGCACCTTTTCCATAGGACGCGTGGGCGAACTCAAAGCGTGGTGTCGAAACTTGGATTTCCGCTGCATAACGCATCAAACACAGTAATCCAATGGGTTCAAATCTGGACCCTTCGGCGGCCATGTGAGTTTTTAGAATATGGCCAGATTCTCCAGAAACCAGTCTTACGTTAATCCAAGTTAGCAAGAATCGACCACCGGAAGTGATATACCATAGGAATCCTACTGTTAGAATGACACTCTTGATTTAGATAGTTTAGCCATTCCCAGTCCTACGATAAGTCACATAACGCGCAGGCAAACTTCTACCAAGATTGTTTTGCCTTTTTTCTCTGTTTGTGTAATTACCACTATTACCGCACACTATACTCGGAGTACGATCAATGACGGGAGATTCTTTTCTCTGACTAGTAGACGATCATTCTTAGGAACATGCGCACAAAAACAATCGCTTTTGTGATTGATATTTACATTGCGAATTAACGTTCTCTTCTCAGGACAGGATAGAAGACCACCTGTTTCTCGACTCTTGAGAGAATTGAGGAAATGATGATACCAAAAAATATTTTGATTGCATCGGCTTTAGACAGCATATATACGACTTTCATAACATATGGTATATTGAATTAATGCGCCGTGGGAGCTATTTATCGGTAGACAGATGATTATAACAACATATGTACGTAAAAAGGACACTGAAAGGATAGGCTATCAAGTATATTTTGCTCATAGAACCGAATAATCAGGTTTTTCGTTTTATTATTTCAATATATTTCACATGTTTAGTACCTGGATAGACGCATAATTGCGAGAAATGGGCGAAACGGCTGTTCTCTTTTGCTGCATACTCAAGATAACCCGAGTTCGGTTCAATGTTAGAATATTGATAAGTGCTAGCGTACTATTTTTTGACAGTTGCAGAGTTACTCTTTAAATGCGAAAAGTCTCAAATATGTCATTCTTCAGTATAGCACGTACGTTATGCATCCAAGATGTAGAAAGCCTAATAATGGCCGGCCTGCGCTGCATTTTCAAGTTAAGCGATAAATGTCATTTAGTAAGAAGTGTGTTTCGAATGTTAGCAGACATTTATGTTATTTCCGTTATACCGTAATGCCCATGAGAGCAGCATAAAGGCCAAGCATGGGACCAAATATGTTTGTCTCCTGTTGTGCGTAAATTCTCTGGAATAGTCTATTGATCAGTTTCTTCCGGTTTAAAAGCCAAACCCGTTCATATCAATTGCAAATGTAACTGGCCTTCAACAAAGAAGAGGACGAAAAAATGCTGTTCTGTATAAGTTCGTAAACACACCCATCAAGTTACAGAATATTACGATTCTTTGAAATCAGAGTGATTATTTGCAGTGATATTAATAATAATTATAGCTAAGGAAATATTCTAAGCGAAGTGGGCCGTTCCTTTGAAAAACTTAACTTAGAATTTACGTTAAAGGCACTATTTTCTGACCAACATTTTTCTAAGTGACAAATAAGATGATTCGATATAGCCAGATATCCTACAATAATCCGTGACGGCAAGAAAGCTTTGAATTCCTTGTTTTTAATATAAAACTATATACCCTTGATGCCGGGAAGAATCACTGCTGTACAAAGGAATATTGCTCCGATTTAGAAGGAAACGATCGATATTTTTCCGAAAAAAAAGCATACTATTAACCTCGATAAGGCTTGCTACCCAGAAAAATATGGTTTATTGCATAAATGGTAGTGAACTGATGCGCGTTAATCGAAATATGGCACTGGCCAGATAGGCAAAAACGTCTGGCGAGACTCGGTTGAAAAACGTTAGCGAGCGCTGTAGCGTCATCTGAAATGGGATGATTTAATTCGTGACGAACCAATTTTCGCCGCTATCAATGATCGTATCTTAATGCACGTCATCGGCACTATTTTATACGCAGCTGACTGTCTCATACAATACCAGACACGATAATGGTGAGTTTTCCTTCTTCTAATGTAATGAAAAGTCCAATCTGAAGCAAATGCTTCAAACGGAACATCGATTTCGCGAAGTCGATTTAACCTTGACCGATCAAAATTGTAGTAAATATGTTTTTGTTCAAAACGGACAAACACGATTAATCATTATTGACTACGCAAGTGGTCATAGGTATACATACATTGTTTAACATTTTTTTTTGCACTCATGAAATTAGCTCTATACTTATGCTGGGTGTGGTGGCGAAGCAAGACAAAACTTACAACAAAGATTGCCCTAACTTCTTACAAGCACAATCACTCGTGCACGAATTCGAAAATATGTAATCAGCTTCGTTTAACCATGAACATGTGAAGTTAAAAAGTTTTTTTAAGTTAAAGCTTTTTAACGTAGACGATGCATGTCGCCCATATCATTAGATAGCATTTTGTTTCTGTGCTGTCCAAGTTACAGAAGCACCTGTATATGACCTTCAGAATATCCTGGAGTTACCTACGATTTCTAGGACAGAGTGGCAAATGTGTTATAGCAAGCGTGATCTCAAACAGGGAAAAATCCTTTGGCAAGTTTTAGCGCTTCTACATAATGCGGGAGACACGAAGAAAAGTTAAAGGTGGTCACTTGGTGGTGATCGTAATAGCCCAGCTTCTGCTCGTTACCGAATGCGACAACTCACTCAAGATACTGTAGAAGTTGGTTGCGTCATGTGTGCGACAGTAGGGCAGGACTGATTCGCTGTAGGAAGCACCAGAGTCGATCCAGTTCGGCACCCCTCACAGATTGTAATAAAATTTCATCATGTCTAAATTATTCATCCGTTTGTTAAAAAGAAAGTGATTTTAATTTTTTTTTCTATAATCTGAATGAAGACACTGTAGCTTAAAATCAAAGCTAATTGAAATCAATTCACGCGTCATAATATCCTGTTTTCGAAAGCCGAAAATATATTGAAATCGTAGGTGAGTTTATGTTTTGCAATTACCCTATTTCCTCCTATGGGCATACCTAATTAGCTGTAAGCAAGCATAGAGAGCCAGCGCATTTAGCCTAGGGTTTAAACGGATCTATATTCACTGCTGACGCTAGTGGGTCTGTATTGATTTTTGTGTGTGCAAGATCCGTTCTATTCTACAATTCTTATTTGTAGAAGGAATGCTTTGATTCACAGCGTTATGTGTCTATAGCTAGTCTGAACAAACATATTAGAACTGAAAGCCAGACAACGAGGCGTGTGGCAGGCCTCCATATGGGCAAAGCTGGTTTAGCTGTTAAAATGAGGTGAGTCGCACATTTAATTGGTATATTTTTGAAATAAATCATCCTATTTTTAAACGTCAAGCAATGGATCAAGGAGTGATAAATGATCTCATTACTACAGATATTTGAAAGCTGGTATATAGTCTTCGTCCTCCAAACCTAGCAGGGCAGCTGGATCTGTACTTCTGTGCTTCGTATGCATTTACACTCTATCGGAATAGGTATGCTGTTACCGCATTTGGAACAGGTTTTTGCGTTTGAAGGCGCAGACCCGGACTGATCGAAACGTTCGCGATGAGGTCCAAACACGAAACGCAGTTACTGCCTGTATACCCATCTAATCTAGCTGATCTAAGTAACGACACCAATACAGGAATTACAACAACTAGCGATTGCTGTTGTTATCGTATTATATTTATTAATTATCCTCATTTATCGTATACTGTAATTATTACATTTTTTTCATCAATTTTTTTTTGAGTCACATAGGTACTTTTGTGCTTCTTTTTTTCGTGTGATCTCGTTTCCGCTGTTGTGGCTTGTGGTTCATTTACTTATTACATGATCATTATTGTCGTCGTAACGTGCTATCTATTATATTAGCCCGTAATGCGATTGATCATTGAACATCGGCTAATATAAACAACATGCTTTTGCTCTGTGTTGTACAAACAACGTACATAAGATAGTATATCTATTTTGCTTTTGTATCTTCATGTATATATATATCTTTTTTGTTTAATCTGTTTTTTTTCTATAGTATTATTCTCACTGCTCTGTATCAATGATTTTTCTTTCTCCACAACGCTTTTACGTTTTATCATATTTCTTCTCGTTAATTTCGTCTTCTATAACCCATGTGCGAATACGCTCTCGCGTCGTAGAAATGTTTCGGCTATTTCATTACATTCTCGCTTTTAGTACCTGTCCACAGTTAGATGGTCCATGGGCAACTGGGTATCGAGTTAATGCCGAAACGATTCTGTCTCCAGCAATAAAGCTCGTTCAGCGAAAACTAACGTTTATTTGTCGACTACTATATTTTTGACCAGGTCAATCTCTCTCTCTCTCTCTCTCTCTCTCTATATATATATATATATATATATTTTTTTTTATCTAATGATCTTCTTTCGTTAACTCGGTGCATTCATTTAAATAGATTTCAATTAATGTTCTCGGCCTGCTCAAAAGACTAGTCTCTTGTTTAGATGCCTCTCATATGTGGTCGGCTAAAGGTGAATTTCCTCGCATCTCTCCCTGAATGGCTTCAGAAATGTACAGACATCTGAGAAATCTGCGGATAAACAAAGCGTTCATTTTGTTAAAATAAAATATACCTGCTGAACTATGGAAAAATATTATGTTTGCTGACAATCTAGCCTTTTTGTATAATGATAATGCTCAGGTTTATACAGCATTACATAGATGTTTCACAATGTGGGTGACATGCACAATTGAAAGCAGAAAGCCGTTTCGTGATAATGGGCCCGAATGAAAAAATAGGCCATACTAAATTAAGTGTACAATATCATAATAATTAGTCAAAAGCTTTTGAGTAATTTGACGTTGTTTGTTCGGAAGAAGGATAATAAGAACTTAGTAAGAAGAGTCTGCGACCATAAGCAAATGTAAAGGGCGACAATTATAAGAAACTCGGAGTTTCACAGTAACAGTAGAGGATCAAAGTGAAGTTAATGAATGCTTAATAATACGCTTATATTGCTTAATAATACGAATATAATGCTTGATACAGCCGGGACAATTTGGCCATTTAGGGCGAATACATTATGTCACATAACAAAACCCTGTGTTTTATTTGCAAATGTAGGACGAAGTTAGTCGCTAGTTGTCAATCAACAGTCTTCTCACGACAGGAGATCCTCCAGGCCCATTTGAACGACTAGGCACGTGAAAGAGGTAGAGGGTTGATGCGAAATTGGCCATTATGTGATATAGAAGCGTCGAGAAAATGCCGTCATCAGCGCCTAATTGTTCTAATTTCTATCTCTATAGCGTGTCCATTACCATTATATCACCTCACGTAATGTATTTATCGTCTCTGTCACAAATGGAATATTACTAGTTGTGTAAATATTAAATTTCATCGTAGACCGAAAAGTACAAATCAATCAACCTTCAGCCGAATATTCCACTATAAATAAATGGAATTATGTCGCATATTATTAATGCGGTCACTGCGCGGGTTTTCAGAGTTTTTAGAAATAAAATTATTTTCGTGTCTGTCCGTTTGTTAAAATATCTATATGAGTTAGATAGAAATACATTTATTTGTCGAAGGGTAGATCCCCAGAGAATATATATTACAATATTTTCTATATACTACTTGTTGTATTCTAATTCAGGCTAGTAATATTGTTACTATTATCATTACCGATAATTTTTCAAACGAAGCACGATTAATCCGGAGGACAATACCTGTTCCTATCATGTCTAGCAGTTAATTATCGTTAAAAGTAATGGGTATTTTGGGTATATTTTGGGTTTCCTAGCCGTCTACGTGCAGAAAACGGCTGTAGATAGTTCAAACTCGACGCTCGTATTCAACTGATGTATGGGTAGATGTCTATTGATTAGTAAAGTGATTTAGGGTATGTAAAGAGACGAGCATATGTAGTACTTTAGTGCTTGAAGCACGTTCCTTTTGTATTTTTTGCTCTGTTCTTCTGCCTACATTATTTCTAATGAAACCTCAAGTCTTTTATTGCACAATCCTCCCTAAGACGTCAAAAGCCGCAACCGACGTAACAATTCCATTGTAATTATTAGTGCCACTCACCATTAGTGATGTTCGGGCAGGTTCATTTCGCCACCATGTAATTGTTGCTAGATTATACTAAAACGATAATTTTGTAGACATTTTAATTTTTATTATTTTTCTCTCTAGAGCAAAGTTATTACTATTACAATTACCTGTATATATATATATATATATATATATATATATATATATATATATATATATAATTAGTATTTATTTATGATTGCTCCATAGATGAACGCTATAGAGTACTACTATTAATTATAATATTTCTAGGTATATTTTGTTATTGATTAAATATTAAATATCATTTTATTTTGTTACTGTCGACTATAGGATGACGTCACCGGTATTTGTTGCGGTCGTTTTTTGTGTTGTATTCATTATAGGTCATCTGTCCGATGCATCATCCAACTTCAACGTACGAAAATAGTACAATGGAAGCGCCAGTTCGGCGTTTACTAGCGCTTAGCTGTTTTATGTCCCTAGGTAACGTCCAATGAAACTCAGGCCCCTCGTCGGCCTCGACATTTACTCAACTCCACTATCTTATTCATTCAATGACTGTTCCCGTTTCACGTCGTGTATTTTTCCATATGGTTCCATATCTATCATTTAAATCACCTTTTATCTTAATTCTGGGAGTTCGACAGCTTTCACTGCTCAAAAGCTATTACGTAGGTAACGTTATGTTGACCCCATGGAAACGTAAGAACGGAAGCCTACAAAATTTACTTAGTTCATAATAAGTATGAGCTTGGCATCTGGCATCGAAGCCCTGTGTCAAGATAATTCCTCATGCAGGTAGGGTAATGACAATAGGTATTTTGAAAACACAAAATCCGGAGACAAGTCTGGCCTTGGTTGATGATTACTTGTCCTACAGTTCGTTTTTGTGTATTTATTATATTATCTATTGTTTAGGTAACAGCCTCCAATTCTAACTCAGGCAGCGAGAACTTCGTTGCCACCTTAGCTGCACCTAACGACAATCGCATACGTTTTATCGAGCTACATCAACTCATAACTGCCGGAAGTATTAATCCCCATATAATATGCTCATAATATGATGAGGTCTGTTTCCACTACTTTTTTGTGCATCTTCTAAATCGCGATGCAGACTTCTTTCTATTTTATGTTGCTTCAGCGTTCACTGTGGGTAACTTCGAGTCCTCGTTGACATTTGTGACTCCTCCGTCCGTTTGTAGCGCCTATTTGAAAATCCATTCTCTAACTCTATGCATGCAGTATACAGGAAAAAGTTACTGGTCGTTTATGGTTTTTCGCTTTCATTATATACAAAAATGAGGACAGAGAGGCGATCGCACTATAGGTTTGTGTCCCTTTCTTTGAACATATGTATAATACGTGAACTGAATGTGCCCCGTCTACATGTTGCAATCGGCCAATGTCACAGATTCTCATCAATCAGTTGCTTCTTTTGCCGTTAAACAGAGCTATTTGGTGTGTGCGTCATCGGTCTGTGTTTTTTTTATTATTTGTATTCGTGTCTGAGTGAAATTACGGCATTAGTAGATGGATGTAGATCATTATTGACCTCTTGTGTACGTCGTCGACTTGCAACACTTTTGATAGTTGAGGTTTTTGTCCCCATTTAAAAGGCTCTACCAGACTGCTTCTTTTGAACGATGCATTTTTGGCCGCACTGTTGGGCTTAACGGAAACTCCTGTCGGGGCTTCTTACGTTCGTTCCAAATAGGCTAAAATCCGGCTTCTCGTAGTAAGTGAATGGGTCAAATAGTAGCACGTCCTAACCCAGTGCCTACATCGGATTATCCGAGGCTGGTGTCTTCGTCAATCTGGGTGGTTCCCAACTTTTTACGCTAGCTATAGACCGCTTAAATTTGGTGGTTCAAACCCACTGATGGGTACGTTGTTTGTTGGCTTCGATCTGGGCGGCCCAAGGCTCTAAAAGGTAGACGAGTCCGCCCAGGATCTGACAACTGCCCAGGATCGCGTAACAGACGAAGAAACTGTTAGTCTTCTCAAGCACATAGCCGATAAATGGGCCACCAGCTAGGCCTGCGATACCCGTGCACATCGTCGCCATGGAGTGTGCTTTTGCCACCTTTAGAAATAGTGGAAGGAAAACAAAGCAAATTGGAAAAATATAAGCATCTAGCATAAACTAGAAAAGAAGCGAAAGGGAAACAATACGGCTGGATTTAAGCCCATAGGAATTGCAATTTGTTGAAAGTGTCATAAAGGTCATCCACAGTTAATAAATAGCTATACGAGACGATTTTTCGTAAACTGGAAGTTTCGTTCATGATACAAACCATTTCATTGCCAAATGCATCAGCGAACAGTGCAACGGTTAAACCGATATAGGCTCCGGACGCGAGGCCAAAACCGGAGGTGCAAAGTAGTAATTGGACGTAGGTTTTGGTTAACGGCATGAAGTAAGCCACGAGACCCGAGAGGAACATGCCAGCCATATAAAAGTACTTCCGTTTGCACAGATGCAAATCTGACAACCACGCACAACCGATACGGCCTGGAAGAAGACACGCCCACGAAAAAGCCGAACAAGATAAGCTAATGAATATGCTCCCCACTACGGAATGGCAGATCCTATCTCAAAGAGGTTACGATTATATTTCCAATTTGGGAGGGTGTTTCGGAAAGAGAAATATAGTAGTATAATAATAGAGATGGTTATTGGAAAATGCTGAAATTGACGTTTAGAGGGTTTAACAAACTCTACAGTATGTATATGATACTAACCGACAACGTCGGCAAACGCAAGGAAGGAAAGACAACGGGCAGAGTCAGACGTGGAAAAGCCGAGCGATCGGGCATACAGCGGCGTATACATTTGAATGGTAGGGTAGCCGATATTATGCAGGAACAAAGGGACCATCATAACATAGAAGACGCTCGAGTGGAAGAACGAAAAGTCCAAGTACTTGTTTCCGCCACTGTGGCCTCCAGGTCGATTGAGACGCGCCGAGGGGGGCGGGCGGTTTCGGGTTTTCGCAACGCTGCCGCCACGTGCAAGCGTTATGCCATCGCCAGTAGCAGGTTTTATTGAAACGTTCGTAGAATTTGTTCTATCAATTGTTAGCTGCTTTCGCCGACTAGCCGAACGAGCTTGTGATCCGTCAGTTAGCACTATAGGTACCTCATTTACCTGCGGAAAATAAAAAGGAGCTAAAATCACTATCCTTGTCCACGGAATCAAATAAACCTAAAAGATGTATCTACAATATAGTAATGATTATTGGCGGCATAGCTATTTCACGATAACTGTTATAAGTTAAGGTTATGAGATCTTAGAGCTCTGACGGTTTGAATACTTATCATAAAGGTTGATATAATTTGAAATAATGAGACTGTTTAAACAACCCAGGCTCAACTATACGTCGGTTGTGGTATAAAAGTTGTTGATAACTAATCAACAAATGTGGACGATTATACAGACAATCCGCACCGATTATACAGATCATAGATAGATGTACATTTCTTTAAAGACACCTTACAGACACACATAGTAGACACAAGAGTCATCCGTATCCTGTGTTGTGAACGCATATTGTTCCTGTTCATGATTAATGGTAACTATTTTCTTTTTTATGGAACTTTCATCAACTCATGTCTATTTAGTAGTTTAGTATATATTATAGAAGTCGTATGCAAAGCTAATCAGCAAGGAAGGCAAAGTTTTTATACCTTAACGTCAAGGCGAAGTGTCATTTTTTTGGTAAGCAAGCCTCAGCCATGTTTGGTAAACCAGCAGGTATTAGCAGCAGGTACATGGACCCTCGCCCCACCTCCCGAAAATACATGTTTTGAGTATACGTCTGTTGATACTGTCTCAGTTAGGTATTGCTTCAAATGGCTGGCCTCCCAATATGAAATGAAGTGTTTCTACGTGGAGCTCCGAACATAAACCAGCACGACTCCTCCATTCCATAATATAAGCCAATAACGCTAAGCCATGTTTAGCATTTTTGTAGGTCTTCCATACTGGACAATAATTTACTTCTGTACATATGACTAGTCGCAAGCATAGACCAAGAAAGAAAAAAAATCTCCACTACTTACTTGTTCCATTGCCGCAGTCGCCACGTTTTCGAGCGTCGGCGTAACCGCTTTTTTCGGTTGAAGTATGACCTCGAGTCCCTTGGCTCCTTGGACCGGAGCAGCAGGTCCATCGGCGTTAGTTTTAACTTCACCACCGGCTGCACTTCCAGCTTCAACATGTACGGTACCTGTGCCAGCTGTTGAAACCCCTCCGCTCGCTGCCAGCAAGCCTGTTATATCGATCCTGAGGTCACTCCGGGCTCTCACAGTCTCGTAGACATCATAATCCTCCTCTTCCTCAGAATCGTCGTCGCTCGCGGAGTCCGCAGTTAGTCCGTAAAGTTCTCCGTCAGCTTCATCTTCGTCGTCGTAGTCGAGGTTGGTGATATCCTCAACGGTGCCGTACGACGGGCCTAAATGGAACGTCGACAAGTAGACGAATGACGACAGCGACGCTGTACTCTGTGAAAAAATCGACTGATGGTCGAGGCTCTGCTGAGTCTCAAGCGGACGATTGTGTTCCTTTACTCTTTGCTCTTTTTTGCGTTGACTCGCAGTGCTTAACGGCAATGGTGGGGGGCTTGTCGATGGTTGAGACTGTACCTGCACACGAAAAGAGGTCTTGAGATTACAGTGAACATTTGGCTTGTTAGGACAGTAAATGTGTTCCAAGCTCTATAAATTATTTTTTACAATTTTATTGTTAATCGATATTTGTGTTTTCAGAATGTGGCTTAAGTTATGTGGCAACCTAGCCCATAGTAAATGGTGCAAACCACGTACAAGGGGTGCAAATCAATAATAACGAGCACCGAGCTGAAAGGCGCTCAAGTGGAAAGACAGTGAGAAACTATTTTATACTCCATTCAAAATCTGTGTATTTTACCTCGAAGGTCGACTGTACACACGGTACGGAGATGTCTGGAACACTAGTTGAGGAACTGACTGGAGGCAAATAGGGTGGCGCTGAAGCCGTTGATATCGGAACCGGGCTCACCGATGATGCTGGAGCCAAAGGCGTCACAGAAAGTTCCGTTGGCTGAGTACTGGGTTGCGGCGGTGCGCTAGCTAGTGATAGAACGAAATCACTAGGGGCTTCCTGAAATGCAATTAGGTCATGGCCATCAATCAATATAACTAGTGATCTATCTTAATTATAGAAATTTTTGTTGGTGTGTATTCGTATCGAACTGTTTCCGTCAGGTGTAAGACATATTGCCGAAAAAAATTTACAACGCTTCTACTGATAAGAAACAATCATGCATTACATTCTATGTAATTTCGATTCCTTATTAAGTACCTGATTTTGAGGGTCGCTGCCTTCTTTAATTAAAAACCTTTACTTCGTTTATCGCCATTCCAAACCATCCTTTACAGAATTTTATTAGCTCCGGAGAATCCTTATTGCCCTTAATTTTCGCTTGCATCATATTTCTAAAGTGATCGATTCAGGTTACATCATGTATTGGTGTGTCTCATAAGCTGTTCCACTTATATCAAACATCAACAATAATAACGCCGCATTTTCCCGGTTAGATGATATCACTTTATGTACACCTCACATTTAGAATCGCGTGGCTGATTGATTACCAACCTCTGGAAGTACTCCATTAACGTACTCTTGCTCCCTTACATCAAACATAAGTGGCGTAGTTGCGGTATCAGCGGTGGACGAGGGCGTTCGCGCACTTAGAGAAGGAATTGGTCCGGTGTTGGGAACTCCCTGTGACGTTTGCGGAAAACGTGGACCTGTCGACATAACGCGACTTTGCCGTTTCAGTGCGGCGACGTACGCTGTCGTGGATTCTACGGGTCGCCAAAGCATCGCTCCAACCGCCGCATTCAAGAGAATCCCACCCATAATTAGTAGCCCGCCGTGTAACGAATATTCCGAAAGTAAACTGCAATATTTTTATTGACACAAATGAAAAACATAGGCCAAAAGGGATTATCGACACGTGAAACTAACATAACTCTAACTAACATAAGCAAAATAGCAGGGATACATGTCGCTTGATAGCACTGCATCTACTCGAAGTTATGTCCTTTCCGGGTGGTAGTACACATGAAGTCAGAGATCTGGTGAGCTTCGAGTTCGCAAACATATCTATGACAGCGTTTATTAAAGTGTGTATTAAAGCGTTCATGTTCGTTTATACACAATAGTTTGAGTTTTGAGTACGATTTTTTGCATGAAACTGGCAATTTTTCCACTCATTTTTTATGCGGTTGTTGCTGCGGTCCGCGTTCGCAAACACCTTTAAGTTTATCAAGCCAAGAAGCTTTACGATATTTTATATGCAACTCTATTCCCTATATTTCTACTCAATCTATCACAGGAGTTGTGTACTATTGTAACACCGTTTCCGTACTTACATAATTATATGGTATATATAAGGTAATATACGTACGTATTCTGATATGCGTTTTACTATTTCTAATTTGGCTTTGTTGAGCCCGCATAACTATGTCTTGTTTCGTGTAACAGCCGCAAGCAATATATATATATATATATATTTTTTTTTTTTATAATTATTTATCTACAGCCGACTGGTGGCTGCAAGATGCTTAGCAAGATCTTCGAGGTTCACTGTACTGGTAGCGCGATGGCTATGCATAACGTTGCTTGTTATGAATCTGACCTTCGGCACACCGGTGTATTTGTTATACTGTTTGCTATACCAAAAAAGTGGGTACTTAAGATACGTGATGCGAGTATTCTGCATTGATCCACTTACTGGTCGGCTATAATGGGCATGAAGATACCGCCAAGAGAGTTTCCTGCCATTCCCAGTCCGTTGGCGAGACCTCTCCTTCGATCGAAATACTTGGCGATCATAATCACTCCAGGCGTAAAGGTGAAAACACACGCCAGTCCTGCAAATGTATGGGTACACGTTTAGATTATTGCTACTACCATCATAAGCTGTTATTTCGAACTGCGCATAATTACTACATGACAAAAATGATGTAAACGGGTACTTAACCAAGACGATTATTGGCTTAAGTTTTATTACTTTGAAACGCTAATGAGAGGTTAAACCATTCAGTAGTTCGGAGCTTAAACACCGTCCCCAATGCTTTTGTTACGCGTGATTTAAATTCGGAACAGGGAACGATCAAGAAAAAGGAATATGCCAACAAAGTAACGTAAATGCATGTTTTTGCTAACTTACCCATAAGCATCCCATATGAAAAGTAGAGATGAGTTAGAGTCTTTGCTTGAGAACTGAGACTCATGCCCGCACAAGCGATGGCTGCCCCACAGAACGTCACTGTTCGAGGGGAAAATCTTTCCGCGAGTATTGAGGCAACTGGAGCTAAACAATGCGAGAGAAGAGTCGAACCCCCAAAACAACAATAGGATAGCATTGCAAAAAACTACGATTAGTGAAATTTACAGGTGACAGTTGGTCGGACTATTGACGTTCAATGGAACTAAGTCGTTACAAATCTAATGGTCGTTTACGCTCATTACCGCGTTTTTATATTGTGATTAAGTTTTTGCCTAGCCACGTGTTTTTTATCCTGTCTGCTCTTGAAAAGCTACAAGCTTTTGCCATTGCTTCCATTGCTCCCTTTTCCAAACTTATCGTCTGCTAATGGCCAAGTAATACGAACCATCAACAAAAGAACTGTTCCTTAGGGCTCCAAGGATAGGTGTGCTGGGTATCCGTTGTTTCCAATTGTTTCTTATTAATATCACAATGCTGCCAAAACAAATCCAGAATAAGTGATGAATTCTACAGGGGAGAGGACTATTTGAAAATGGCTTGGTAAATTTGGAAGTGGCATGTTCAAGCTCAAGGGCACCCAAGTTTCCTCGAAATCGCTCTGAGCGACCTTCGAATGGGGATAGTTGCTGATAAAGTCATCCTGCTCCGCTATCGAGTCCTCATCGTACGAGAGAACTGCGAGAGGAACAAGCGGCAACGAACGATTTCTGTGTCCGGTAACATCAATTGCATATGCAACGCATCAGAGTTAGAAAAAGCTGTTTTTCGCTCTTACGACCAATCAGTCGCAGGCTTATGACGTGGGCCTATGCGTACTTGCTTCAAGTGGAAATGCTCAAGTAACGATTCGTGCTCGTTATGATTATATCTATCGTATGGAACAAGGCCAACATCTGCTGCACGTGAACTAGCAAATATGGTAGTAGACGGCAACCGAATTCGTACGGCGTGGAGTGGACCTCGATCTGTCATCAACATCTCAAGTTCGAGGATCTTCGTTCTAATACATATCTTGGCGCACTAAAAATGCAGTTTAACGAATCAATGTATCATAGACGTGCTTTACTTATCCAAGATATATACCAAAATAAAGTAATTACGTCTATATATAGTGTAGCCAGCTTCTATGTCCAATAGAGATTTCCGTCGGCAGAACAATTACACGATGGCAAACAGTTGTCGACAGTATCAAATAAACATAGCATTGAATTTAATATTTTTGTAATTGATTAGAAAACACAAAAAAACAGCATCGCGAGTAGGAGAGTCTTAATGGGCACGACTTGTGGAGTGGAACATTCGGACTCCGTCTGAAGTTGCTGAGTCCGTCTCCTTCGTTTTAGAATTTTATTTTTGCCGTTGCATCCTAAGAGATACAAAACTATAACAATGGGTACAAGTGCTATTGCATATCAGCCGTGCCTTCTCGGATGGCTATGTTCTAATACAGTATAGACGGAAACGCTAATTTCAAGGCTTAAAGGGCCAATAGGGCCGAAGCTACCCTGAGAAAATTAGCGAAACTTCAGCTAACCTCAACCTCTACCTTATATAATGCTCTCTACTTGCACTCAAACTACTTCAAAGATACACCTGTATCAGAGCAACGCGTGTTGGGATACACGCACCAAAAGGAGCAAGCAAGAATATCACATTTGTCCGATCGACCAGAACCTTGATTGAAGATTTTTCGCTTGCGTTTATATAAGAAAACACGTTTGACGTGGATTAGATATATAGAAAGTGAGAGAGTGCAGCGCAAGGGTGCTTTACAGATGAGAATGACGTGAGCTTACGACGTTTCATTTAAGTATAAAATAGACAATCCGTTTTATATATACTGCTCGGTTGGCTTCTGAGGAAAGTCCCATTTAATTACTTACCAAAACCCAGGAAAAAGGAGAATTGTATGGACTGAATCCACGCCACTGTCGATGGCTTTTCGTTGAAACGTTCGATGAACGTACTAATGTAAACTCCAAATGTTTTTGCGTGTCCAATGATGAGGATATTGCCGATTACTACTCCCAGAAGCACCATCCAACCCCAACCACCATCTGGAGGTGGAAGCTATGACAGAGAAAATCAAAAGGCAAACATTACGTTAAAAGGGCATTCACAGCTAACGAGACCACACGTCCGCTTAGAATGACATTAACACTTCCATTCCATTGATTAGTATGATATCAACAAGTTAGCACTTTTGACCTGGATGCTCGGCATAAGTGACTGGGTTTGGAGGAGTAGATGTCAATCTATATAAAAAAAATCTGTATAAATAACTAATATATGATTGCTCAACACACTTGAAAAAATAAACAATTTCCTCAAGGACCTGATTGTATGTTGAAACAGCAGGCCATCTAGATACGATCTAAGGGACACGTCGCCATCACCTGGGCCATTCAGTGTAACGAAGAGTCCCCAGGAGTTCTCTCGATTGGCTACAGAGCGGGAGCCACGACCCGGCTACAAATGACTCATTCTTAAAACTAATTCTCAGATGCATAATAAAATCTAGTGATTGCATCTGAAATCCATGCATCTGTGACCCAGTCCAGATTGACTTATGCCAAGTATTCATCCAAATTTACGAGGCTGCCAAGGTACCATCTTTCTGTTCTTTCCCTCTCCCTTTTACTTCTATTTATCTCGAATTCTCTCTCTCTCTCTTTTTTTCCATCTATATGCTTCTTCTCGTCCCATCTTTTTCTCTCCGTGTCCTTTTCTCTCTCCTTTCAGTGACCTTTTCTGCCGCTCCTATTTCATCCTTTCTCTTGCGACATATGGACGTCCCCTGGCTGCTATTTGGCCACATCCTATCAGAGTAAACAATTAAAAGGAACTTTTCGCCTCGAACCAGAAACTGTGTCGTTTTAACAGCGGCTGTATTCGAAATTCTGGAAGGTTAGAAATACTACTATTAGTTCTACTGGCTTTATTAGGCCAGCCGGGTAAAATGAATTCTATTGTATTGCTTGTCTACGTGTTTTTACTAGGGTTAATATAGCACGCCTCTACTACCAGAAAGGCATTTGATTTTTATGCTTACCAATATTGTATAATGACGCATTCGCTTGGAGGGTACAAGCGCACAAATTTCAAACGCATCCCTTAGCTTGAGCGATTCGATAAGCCTTTTTCTTTCATAAGTAAAACATATATAACGAATTTCGGAACCTAACAATGACTGAAGTTTTCTGGTAATCAACTAAACCTGAAATGGACAAGGCCCAAAGCCAAAATCGAGCGACATTCTATAAATAAGTCCAGTTTTTTTCAATTTTTCAATTCCCAACGATTGTCTCAATCGAACAAACTGTTTCGGCAACCTTTTGAAACGTAATGGCCATTGCCGGGGCAAAATTTTGGCTTCCAGCATTAATAGTTCTTATGAGTAGTAAGGAATACGCATATCATAAAGATGGTGCCTTTCGTGTTGCACCCAGTGAAGCCGGAAGTCGCTTACCGAATAGTGTTAATATGCCTATGAGCTACAGAAAGTAGTCAATTCTAGGAAACCAGATCTTGACCAAATCATCTTTTAATGATTCAGGGATCAACATAGCAAAAGTACAATGATCCTGTTGTTTCCATAGTTTTACATGGCCTCTTTTAGCTGGGCATGTCCATGCCTTCAACAGACATGTTAGCAGTGTCAGTGAGCGTTTCCGGATACGCTAGAGAAGCTAGCACAACGTAATTACTGTTTCATTAAGCTCGTGCTTAACGCTTATGACATTCTACATGGGAAGCACTCGTTTTTTAGTCTTTCGGATGCAAGCATTAGACTGCGCTGTGGTAAACGGTAAAAAGATGCCAGTTTATCACTGATGTGTCAGGGAACAGATATAAAAAGACATATTATTATTATTAGTTGTTTATCGAAGCATTTTTTAGGTAAGACACGACAAAGCCTTCGCATGGAGTGGAAAAACTGGAATAGAATTTACTTTTCCGCATCACTTCATAGCGAGCTGGATAACCGCATCCTGACAGGCGGTCTTGCCTCGAAAGAGAACAGTCTTCGATTGATAAACATACGCAGAGATAATGGAATAAACCTTTGAAGAAGCTTTTACTAACCTTCTATCCACAAACTTTTGGGCATGTTCTATTCTTCAATATAATAGGTTTTTGTTTTGAATTGGACCCTTTTATTTATGCGAATTATGTTGTAATGCTGTCCAAGTTCGTTGGACACGAATTGCAGACCGGACCAACAGATTTTTAAAAATCCCGCCATTTTAGAGCGAGGGGTTCTATAGGGCCAATGAGTGTGACTGAGCGCCCAGGACAGATGATATTTATCCGCGTCATTTTATAAATTATCTTAATCCTCGCTTTTCCCATTGTGATCAACATGATGCCAACCATTAAACCATTAAGTAACAGAATATACACTTTTCAAACAATGCTTGTTACTTTAAAAAAATGTCCTAACATATACGAAACCTAATGAAACTATTTGAGGCCTCAAATATACTCCATCGCTCTCACATAATGTAACGAACATGTCATTATCTCCGGTGATTATATTTATACGTTCCTGGGAGGTTTGTGACCACAGCAGCAGGGATGCCTGAGGTAACACGTATAGTGTATTCAATATTTTGTGTCATTTGCTTAAAATTATAAGGAAACTATGCTAGCCCAGCACGTAATAATTGCTTTTGTATACGGTAAAAGTGCCCTTGATTTGTGATCTTGATTACAGTAGTTCTAATGAAGATCGGCGCTTATGCGTACATCGTTACGAAGAGACTTTACAGTTATTTAAGACAATCTACCATCTATTGAGCGTATAAATTACGTTATCATTATGTTTGTGTTGGTCCAACGCAAACACTTAGCTCGTTCGGCAATTCAATGACACTATATATATATATATATATAATATTATGTATATAATATTATATAAGGCAACAGTATATTGGCTTTTTACGTGATGTACATATGGTCAAATAACTGGAGTTTCGCTACTGTAAACGAAGCAAATCGCTCCGCAAAACTTTGTATGTAAAAAAAAAGAATAATTATCTGCATAGGCTCTATAGGTGACCGACAGTTTGAACAGGTCTAGCTCATGCATTTTTCCTATTTTAAAACACATGTATATTTATAGTTTAGACGTATATTTGTAGAAATGTGCCAACAGGGAACCTAAACCTTTTTTTCTCAATCAGTAAGTTTAGAATGAGACTAACTAGAACTGCAACGCTAATTTCGGATTTATCTAGCGATCTCATTCTATAGAACAGGAAGTACCTATCGATTATTACGGAAAAAAATTAATGTTCGAATTATGATGCATCGTTATCAGACAAGAAGGTCGCTTGCTTTCAAAACCCATTTTGAACATAGTTGTTCAAAATGACAGCAGCTCTAGAAAATATATGGAATATATTCGAGAACACTAGCGCGTGTCTTTGCTATGCTAGCGCCTTCTGACAAAAATATAAACACAAGAATTGGTCAAAGCAGACGAGTTCGAAATAAGCCCAAGTAAAACAACGACCACTAGGAGTAAAAATATTAATACGGCTACCCCGTTGAAAAATGGCCGGGCATGTTCTTAGGTGTTTCTAATGGATACGCTGTACGTTGTACTTGAATGGGTCTTTGATATACTCGTTTCACCTCAGATAGTGCTTAATGGCTTGTTTAACGGAAGCGAACTTTGGTTGCCGCGTTATAATTTTATCAATGTTAGATGTGTATGATATCAATTTAGCAACGATTACTAATGCCTGTTTTTGAAGTCGACCTTTGTGAAATTTCCTATGATAATATTCTCTGAACCTCTGTCGGTGAGACCGATAGCGAGCTATTACAGGGAGAAATAAGATTGCGTTCTATTGTAAAAGGCAAATTTGCATAGTTATTGACTGAGCTGGAACGTTCTAGTCTCGAAGCGGAATGCAAGCTTGTTTTTGGGTTTTGTCTCCACAAAAGTCCATTTTTACAAAGCTTTCAAAGTGCCCAACAGTTCGCCAAATGTAAACCACTGCTAACCACTGTAAAATTTTCAAATAACTAGAATGATGCATGACGTGACTGTTGCTGAGCAATTTTTCTAGTCTTCGAAAAAAGGAAACCGTAATTATGAGCTCGATGGTTTTCTTTAACGCAGTAGGATTCATAAGCACCACTTTGGAACATATGGCGCGCTAGCGAAAAGGAAGCGATTTTCCAAAAACGAATTTCCACTTGTCCGTAGGCAAACGTATTTTTTGCGCTGACGACATTGAAACGTTTAATTACACAACTGAAAGTTGACATTGTTTGTGTATCAGTCATGTTAAATGCTAAACAAAATACAAGCAATATTACATTTCAAGAAATTCGTTTATGAAATCTGTGTTTTGAGCATGTCGATATACAAAGGAATAAACGTGCCTCTTTGACAAATAGAAAATATATACAGAGCTTTCCCTCTCTCCTCTCCGTCTATTATTCTGTCTGTCGTAACCTATATCCTCTTTGTCTCTTTCCTTTTTCGGCACCCTTCTCCCGTCCTTTCGTTCTCCCTCTCACCCCCTCTCTAAATAGCTATTACGTTCAAGTCCCGCTTAGCACTAGAGTGTTACGTCACTCTAGAACTGCAGATGAATACAATATGGCAAATGTGTTATGGAATAGCTATGCACCTGCCCGTACCAATGGTGAGAGATGATACTTTACAAACGAAAGGACAGCAGAAAGGCTATACATGGCAACTGCAGGTTTCTTGTCCTCCTTTTATTGTTGGGCAAACAGCGTGAGGCAGTAATGATTTCAGTCAGTCATCTCCATTTTATATTATAGAAGAAACTTATCGAAAAGATTCTACTGCATACCGGACCATTGACATCTTGTAAGTCCAATGAGGTAATAGTGGTTACTGAAAAGCATAAGTAAAATCCCGATAAATATCAAGTCAAATAAGATCGTGCATTTCAGCCTCAAGGTCACGGTAGGCCTGGGGATCGGAAAAGCTCGCGTGGCCGCCACTTAATAACTCTAAACCAAGTAATTGAAAAACTAGTGGAAAACACTCTCTGTCGCACAGGCTCGCTTTGAGGCTTAAACCGAGAAAAAAAAAGACGTATTTTTTGAGTTACCAATAGTAGCAGACTTTAAACGGTAACTTCTGAGTGATGCGATCTGATAGCAGTTGCTATAATACTGTTTGTTTTTCGGATGTCTGTGGACAGGTAAGATTTACTCGTTTAAGTAAATCAGTGTAAACCAAAATATCAGAAATCCCCGTCAAGTTTTACTTCAGACACTTACTTCTCTGACCGTTAATAGCCCTAACACGACTTGCTACTAAGTATTGCAGTTGACTGCTATACGTTTACAGCGGTACATAAGTTATTTGTAAAAATGATCACTAACATATAATTTAGTACACACAAGTTATCAAATTGAAGCCTTTCACATTGATTCGATCAAACTGGCCATTCAGTGCATGTTATTGAAATTTTAATTTTTTAATTAGTTTCAATACTTATTATCCTTTTAGCGACTCGTTTGTAGTATGGTTTCTTGGCCTGGTGCCGTAGAGGGGTTCAAGGCAACGTAGCCAGCATGCCGAACCTCATGAGGATATGTACATCATAGCACATATTTTTAAATGCCAAACAGACATCTGCTTTTCATATATTGTCTGCTCGAGCTAACACAAACATGTTACTAATGGTAATAGTTACTTGTAGCATAAGAGACGATCTACTTTACAGCGGTGCATTCGCATTATACGAGTGCGATCGTACAGGCGTACCTTGATTCTATGCCACCCACTTCGATGATCAGTAAATAGACTACATGACACAAGATTTTCTTAGGTATCTTTTATTGGGTGGTGCAACGGGCTTTACCCCTTGCTTAGCCTAAAGTCAAAAAAAACTATGCAAGGCTTCAATAGTGAAGGTTCAAGACGCTAAAAGGCTCCATCGAATCTTCTTTGACGGAAGTCCTACTCTCAGCGGCAGACGAATCACAATACGAACACCTGCCGCTTTACGCAAAGCAACTGCCTGAGCCATAATATCTACAGCAAAACTTTTTTGATATACAGGACCTTGAATACGTCACCACGTTAGTTTTTCCACGCAAATAACCAATGAACAGTGGAGTCGCTGGTAGAATATTATCCACCTATCTATATTTGCTTAATATCTCCGTTTGCCCGCCATTACCCGTACAATTAACACTCCCACTCTCTGTTCAGTAGAATCGTTAACTTTAAGCAGCTATTCGCTCCGTTTCGCATTATTAGAACAAAAACATTTGCTTCATCAGTAATGCCAGGATCAATAAGTATACCATTGGCTGTGTCAGAGTTTTTCCATCCGAACTCTGCGACCGTTTGAGCTCTTCCGCCGACGCCATACTGTCGGCACAGATTATGCACTAGGTATACCACAATCAGTTTCAGATCCACAGATTCACACACGGATTCATACTATACTGCCCTGCTGTTGCTAATAGGAGCTAATGGTGGTGACCAGCAAACTGTCGACTGCATTACCATCTTGGCGGGTGGAAACTTCTCAGAGGAGATTTCTCAAATCTTACGTAGTTAAGGTCACATGCGATGGCTACCATCCGATCGTCGGCGGGGTTATTCCGTCCGTGGCAACTCAACTATTACCTGTACCGCCCTTATCCTCTGTGTCTGTAGACATCCGTAGCTACAGCAGAGTTAGCTAGTCCACTTCTGAAATAGCACGTGTCATCAATGACAGTATACTGTTGTCGCTAAAGAAGGACTTCACACTCAGCTTTTGCTATGCATCTCACAGATACTAGTGCTTCTGGTGTGAACAGTATGTATCAGCTATGTGATGACATTGATTCCAAGGGCTGATATAAGTTTAATGAGTTCATGTACGTTACATGATGACATAGCAATTAATTGCGTGATCTACCAGAGCAGCGTGTTTTATATTGTTTAGGTGGTAATATTAACGTGATTCTGTTATATGCCTGGCTTTCTCTCTCTCAGTCGTCTCCCTTATATATATATATATATATATATATATGTATATCCAAACAGGGCGTAGAGAGGATCGAGGACATAAGGACAACGAAGGATGACAATACAATTTTATGTTGTATTAGTTGCCACCGACGTAGTACCAGCACCGTCAGGATATCTAGACCTCAGATCCGAAATGCACCAGGGCACCTTCTTAAGGATCTTTGGTCATTGGCCGCTTACCAATCATATGTCAAAGACCAGTAAAAGAACACGTTACATCATGCCTACTTGTAAGTGCAAGTTAAACAAGATCTAAGACCATACCAAGCAGCATAAGCTTAGCTGCTTGAATCCTGGCTCAGTTTTCAGTTATGGGTATTACTTACACTCTATCCTGTTAACGCTAATAATTTACCCGATTGCAGCGTTGGGGTCTAGTCGTACGATTGCTGACGCTCCGCGCTAATTTCGCGGAGAGCTGTGGCTTCAAAGGCGCATTCTCACGGCCATCAGGTGGTTCTGTCACGCTAGCAGGTCCTGTTTGCCCCACCGGAGGCATTGCAGCTTCACCGTTGGGGAAGGTATCGACTTTCCCTGCCGTGTAGTCTTCTGAAGGCTTTTTAGCCTCCTCATCGCCAATTTCGATCGGGGTGCGAACTGCGAAGGACATAAAAAGTGAATACGCCGGTCAGTTAGAAGACGGGCATCAATTCTCTAATAACTAATTATAAATGAAACCCTTTTAGACGAGAAGGCGAAGTGGGACTAGAAAAAAGACGGGTAGCCAACCCCATCGTCTCTCATTTTGAGCCATACTTTCCCGAACACTTGGTGTACCTACGTTACTGGCGTCATTATCGAGAAGCATGCATGTCCTATCAAATGTATCATCAATCTGCACATTCGTATCGTATAGCATCAAGAATAAACTTTTCGTTATAAAAAAGGTGTGTTTGTTGCACATTCCTTTAGGCAACAGATGGTGCATGGTTCCCATTATACACCTATTTATCTTTTTTCTAAACGCGTGCTCTACATATAGCGACGTAGTATTAACAAGCCCCAAGTCAAGTTGACAGCAACATAATTTACCGTTTGTTGTGATACCCTTTTATTTGTATACGCATACTGTCACTATGTCGAAGGTAGATTGATATTTTTGACTCGTGTCTACTCACGGGCCACTCGGCTGAACTCGATTGAAGTGGATCGTCCTGGTTGCCTTTGAACTTTAACAGCCTTTCGGATAAAATTTTCTAAGAGATGACACATAATCCAATTTTAGAAATAATGCCAGCAGAAGCCAAAGAACTCGACGCCGCTGCTCTAGAATATCGAATGGTGAAAATTATCATATGTCAGGCCGGCGTTCGAAGAAAAAAACTAATTTAGAGCTAATTCAAGTATGCATTGCTTATGCTTACACTAAACTATATAACATTTATATAGAGAATGGACCAAAAGACTTTGGATAGATTAAGGAAATGCTCCGAACGTCGTTACACAGTCGAATCCCTATTTATTGCAGTAATTTACGTATCTCCTTCTACTTTAACAGGTACGAAATGAAGAGTTCTCTACTGTCAACGTTGTTTTTTGTCGAGCTACTCCGATATTTTTGGCCCGCATGGTATTTGTATTGTTGCACGAGTATATGGATGTTCGGGAATTGCGTTGTTCAAAAAGGCTAATTAGAGCTGGACCGCTGACATGGTTAGAATGAATCGGGCTCTTTCCCCGATACTCTAATTTGATGTAATACTAAGCTTCGTACTGGTGGTGACGAGACATTCGTTTGCCAGAACAAAACCAGATACAAGGTCACAGATGACATACGGACTTCTGGATACGGCGACACAAATTAACCTTAATTGCCCAGTATTACATATTGTAAATAACTGTATGTATGCTCAAACGGGATAAACGAGGAAGCATATAATTCACGTAGATCCGATATAGTTGTGAGAAAAATTTGCTGATTGCAACTAATCCCATTAGAAAGAATCTAATGACGCGAATTTTTCGTGGTCGACAAATGTTTTTGATTGGTAAAGCAAGCTCGACATTTCTCTTCATTCGTTTTGTCGAATTTACTTATTGTAGCAACGTTACCTGTGGTCAAAATAGATTAATCTTAAGGTTAACTAAAATACCCGAGTAGAAGGTTTCACATCGTTTACGTTATTCTCGAATGTCTAAATCGCCCAGATAGAGCCATGCTTCCTTAAATCATTGGGAAGTGCTGATTCGGACGTAATAATCTACTTCATCTAAGACACAATTATATGAATAACCAGTTTTTTTATTGGGTCTCACTTCCGAGAGCAAATATAATTTTAATTTATAACTCACTGTACACGTTACGTTATCTTTACGGTGATATAGCGCCCACCCTGATCGCCGATAGACACCGTAAGAACGGGCGGGCCATTTGTTCGACTGATGACAACGAATAATTATGCATAATGTGCTACCAAGTTGAAGGACCAAATTGAGCGCCAAAATAGCGTAAAAAGTAGCAAGCGAAAAAAAGACTGGACCGAAAAAGAGCATCGTAAATAGAAGCTGGCGTCCGAGTAAGGCAAAGTCATATTCGAAATTCATACTAATCACCATCTGTTGTTGTTTAGGAGAACGATTAATGCTGCACCAAGCTGTACATCTTCTTATGAATTGATGAAGATAAATTAGCGGGCTCAATCTGTGCGGATGAATGAAATATCTTTTGAGATATATATATATAATGATGCCGAATAGTGCCTTCGTTTATTTTTATTTCGTAATATTTCGTTTTATTGCAGCTACTTTGTTGAAGGCAAAACAGTTGGACATCCGATCATTGCTAGATGATGATTATTTTCAAATAACTTCACGCAAATCAGTGTAACTATTGGCCTGGACAGATAACTGTTCGCATCGTAACGAACGGACTGCTATATTTCGTTCTTATATAATATTATATATATAATATAATACAATGTAATTCTTATATAATAATTCGTTATAATATTTCTATGTACTATTAACAAAGCTATTGGCCAGAGCACACCCCCAATTAGATCTATCAGGCGGATCGTATTTAGATAGAATTTCAAATCTGTCATATTAACATTTAAACTACTTAAATAATTTGTATTGACAACAACAGGTAAAAGATTTTCCAACATAACTGATACAGAATTGGTATGCTTAAGACTAAAAACAGCAGAACATAAGCACTTTTATATGGAAAGATGATTACATCCAACTTATTTCTCTTTATATGTCCTATTTCTTTTCTCTTGTGCGGGTCGCGGATGACTCCCTAGTGATTTTCAAAGTACGTTGAAATAGGCCGAGAGAGCAAGTGATTGAAAACTCATAGCCTTGTGATAACATTTAGCTACCAGGACGAATGTCTCGTAATGGAGTAGCATCATGAGGTAAAGTTAGCTTCAGCAGGTTAATGGTAAATCTACCGGAGCACAAAATTTGGCCTTATAGTGTCCTTCTGCACAAGTCAAGTTCAAGGCAAGAATAACAATGTCTTGATCTAGAACGAAAGTTCAAGATCAAAATTTTGCTAGCTAGGAACTTAGAGATACTGCTATCCGACTACTTGTTCTCGCATGTGTCAGATAGAATGTTTCGTCTGCGTAACTAGCGAATGGAAGTTCACATTTTGCAGTCTTCATGCGTAGATAGTAAATAACGAGGAAGAATCTTGTAAGTTGGCCGAGATACTTGAAAGCTGAAAAAGTGAATATATTTAGTGAAAGTATTCGAAAATTAGTATTAACTAAAAGTCTTGCCTAGCTTGCGATAAAGTCGTTTCTAACAGTTGAGCTGAAAAAAATTATCTGGGCAACCCAATTAGATAACAACCCACTAAGAACTTATTAAAAGATTGCTAACTTCGCAATTGCTCATAATAATTTTGGGTCATAAATTGACCCACATATTTGGACGCGCATAGGCAAGGACAGGCCCGGAATAGCCTTATTCTTCAGCTCCCATTTTTAGAGTCGTCGCCTAAATTTTTACAACGCATATGTTTTAGAAAATAGCACCATGATGAAAAGGTCAATGAAAGCGAACTAATCGAAGTAAGGATATGCTAAATTCAAAGGATTTTTATGCGGCTGGAAAAAATTACATCGGAAAAGCTTTTTATGGATTAAGGATATCAGTATCCTCCTCGCTTCGTGTTTCCTGCGTTACAAAAGAGAGCCGTCTGTTTCGCTTGAATACAGCGGATGCCTTAACGTTGAGTTAACGCGATACGCACGTACAGACCTACCGCAAACATTAGCTACCAATGTTATGATGTAAACTACAATGATGCGGCCCATTCGTTAACAATATATAGTGATTTTAAACAACATTAATAGATTATGTACACAAGTCTAGAGGGCTTGCATAAAAATACATCCCAATCGCTTAGTTTGTGCAGTAGTACTAGCGTTACGGCATAGATGTCTACGCCAAAACACATAGTTAGATTCGCTATCAGCTATAACATTTTGAAGAATCTCGAGTCATCGATAAATTCTCTCGTGCCCTATTTTTAGAGCCCCAGACATGGTATGTGCGTAGTGGACGATCCAGAATAATGACTAGTTAAACGTCATTGTGCAGTCAAAAATATTGGGATTGTTAAGCCGAATCGACACGTAAACCTGACCACGTTCAGACGCCACTGCTACAATTACTTCTACCGTCACTAGAAATAATCTAATTTCCTCTCCGCCTGTGGGGATCTGAAAGTGTGGGCTCGTAAAATGTAGACCCGCATTTGCGACATGATAACATTCGGACCCCCCCCCCCCCAAGTACAGCATGAACTATATCAGACGATCTGGTTGGCTGTGTTACGTCTATAATGGCGAGAAGATCGCTTCGAGTCTGCTTTGAATCATCTAGTCTACTTAATCAGATTATAATTCATGTATGTCGTTAAGTCGGTTTTGGCGTAAGCTATGTCGCCAACGTCCTTGGAGAACAATATCTGAAAAGTTTAAGTGAATATAATGACTCTGTCAATAGGTCTCGTATCAGTTTTTGGAGAGATAAAGCGAAATGGTACATCCCATTACTTCTTTTTTTGCTGAAAGGGTTCAACCGAAGCTGTTAAGTTTATGAAGGGTTTATCTCGCTTCAAAAAGTAAAGAGGTTGGCCCGAGTTGGTGCAAAGCATGGATTTGAGGCATGACAGATGGGCAACCATACATTTCGAAATGATAATGTCTTGATCAATCGATAATCTGCTCATCACTATAAAACATCTCATTCCGAAGAATCGTGTATGACGCTATATTTGGCAAAGGCGTGTTTCGAGTAATCTACCCTTTAAAGCTATCCATTGAGACTTGAGATATCACGTGAGGGAAGTTATATGCGAAGGACCTGAAATTTTGGAAAATTGCCTAATTTCGGAGTTCTCCGTGTCCATTTACATGCAGTAGCGAATACCGCGATTGATTCAAGATTTGTATATCGTACTGAAGGTTTCTTTACCAATCAACGTAAATGCAATCAGATTTCACTAGCAATGTATAACACAGCAATGCTAACGTTTATTTATTAACAGAATCCAGCTTTATTTTTTCAAAAATTTAAAAAAACCGCTTCCGCTAGACCTACTTCGTGCCTACTCTACGAAATTTACTAATATATCA